TTTAATGCAAATATAATGCATTTGTACGCAATATATTTATGGTGTGAATACTCAACAGCTTATGATATATGAAATGTAGATTTATTTGATCTTTGATCTTATTCAGAACGATTGTTTGATTTTGAAAGTCATAGGTCATGTTATTTAATCGGAGACTGGGGGTATAAAATGCTTTGTATTGTTACACGTATTATGAAAGAGTTAAGTCTTGTGTTAGATTTTGTAATACCTATTTTGATTAATTAAAAAAAAATCGCTATGGGATTAAAGCAAGGGGAGATGTTTTCGCCTATATCATTTCCCTGTTCGTAGAAGACATCTGGTCAATATATTATTTTTGCTTTTGTTTGCTGATGATAAGTAAATAACGATAGACAAAAGTTGTATTTAGGAAACGATGTGGCTTATTACGTAACGTATAGATTTTTAAATATTAGTAAAAGACTTGATTTTTGTATTTTTTTTTATCGCAGATCAGGAAATATAATGCTGACATTCAATCTCTGGCACAGCGCTTCACGGCAAACTTACAAACAAGTAGTTCTCAAAACAGATTAAAAATAGCAATGTAAGAGAAAAAAAAAGTTTTATTTTGTTACAAGTATCAAACAAATTACAACGCATTTAAAGTTTAAAAGTAGCATTGGCTTATAGAATTGTCAATAAATGCACTATCACAAATTACGGGGATGAATATTATTTTAATCAATGAAAATGTTATGTCGATAACCGAATACTTCAGAGCATATTAAACAAATAAATGACTGTCAAGTAGTGGAATATATCGGACTATTTTGGCGAGAAGATTTTCGCAAAATTATTTACATCAGTGTTAAACAACAGGTTTATCGTGAACAAAATACCTCGAAATTAATAAAGAATGGAAATTCTAAATTTAGAAATATTATATTTTATTCAGGCTTTCTTCGTATAACTTCCCCGTGGTGCAGATATAACGCGCTTGTGTAGGGTGTGAGAGGTCTGGGGTTCAAATCCCAGTCGAGGCGTCTATCTTTTTTTCAAGTGTATTTTTTAAGGAAGTAGCCACGATATACAAGGATAAAATGTGGCTGTCATAAAAAAATGAACATAACTGATTTTTGATGCAACTCTAGTCATGGAAATTCCGTATGTATCAAACTCAAACTGTTATAGTAAAAAAATCTAAACGTAGTCGCTGCATCTCGGTGCCCTGCAAGATGAACTATAGTAATTAAAAATAAACTTACACAGGAAAATACATACACATATACTGTACGATTTAGATTGCAAAGATAAGAAAATACCACAGAGCTTGCAGCACTTTGATTTTATAATTACACATTTCTATTAGGAGAGAAGCATTTAGTTGGTAAAGCACCGAAAGCCTTAGAATTCCTACATATTAAACTTATCGCAAATATCGATTAAAACATGATATTATTTGTCAATTATTTGATTCATTTGTTGGCTCTATTTACTATTTACATTATGCATCAGAAATATGGGGATCCAGTAATTCAAAGGAAATAAGAAGAATACATCTCAATTTTTTGACAAAAAAATTAAAGGTCAACACAACATCATGTTCAACATATACGGTGAACTTGTACGATATCCTCTTTATTATTATATATTTAAAGGATGACATGTAAATAAAGAACAGTCCTGTTAAAGAAGTACATACTATAATCATGTTAAAAGTTTAGTTATTTTTAGTATGAAAAACACTTGGATATTAGGCCTTGTAATTTTAAATGTTAACAATTAAGGTTGTCAACAAATGTTTTTAAACTTCAAACAGGTCAATACGGTGAACAGAGATTTGAGAGAAATCAACGTCATTGTATATATACTGTAATACGCACGGCATTGAAGACGAATAACATTTTCAATAAAATGTATATATATACAAAAGTATTTTTATGTTTAATCAAACGTGTTTATATTTAAATAATATTAAATATAATTTAAGAACAATTCTTATAAAAACGTGTAGGGCAGTATTTTTTAAATTTTAAACAGATTGATGTTTTATCTTAAACATTTTCCATTATCAACTGTTGGTCAAATATATTGTCATTCAGCTCAACTTCACCGTGCAAAAAATGAGCATAATGTCTTTTGAATGTTTATTTTCCATGTTTTGTTCGCAAGGATCTTGTAATAAAAACCAAGACATTTAAGATGAATTCATGATAGAGAAAAGGGGGATTATAAATAAACATACAAAAAATGTACTCGTACATTTCGTCGGCAGGTCGTTACAAAAATGGTACATAATTGTAATAATTTTGCATTTATTGTTACGATGGAACAAAGTTGTGAAACAGTTAACAGATAAGATATTTATACAGTTAGATTTTAAGTACTTTTCATAAGACATTAGCTTTTTTGAATCAGTTTTTTCTCTCCGAAAAATCCTGACATTCACAGCCATTATAAAAAGAGTAATTGATTAAAAAGATTAAGAATATCTGTAGGTAAGCAGAGATCATTGGACGATCTTTTGTATTAAAGAATACATTATTTTTCTATCTGGTTTTGCAATCATTGTTTTATTTTGAAGAAGGTACACTGTGCTTCAAATATCAATCACTTTTAGCTCTTTAAAAAGGTCTGACGCGTGTTTAATAATGCTTTTATAATGGATCTTGAGCTTGCAAGATGTGTAACATCTGAAAAAATAGCGCAGTATGTGCAGTTATATGCCGTTGAGGTAGTAAGAAGTACACAAAGTAGTATTTTGTCTACCATACAAAATACTAAATTACTTTTATTAATTACATAAAGGAGTTAAGTCTTGTATACTGAATGGCAAAGAGGAAAAGAATCAAAAGGTGGTTCATTTATGTGGTCAATGAGTAACTTTCTTCAAAACTGTAACAAGGTAACATAATAAAATAGTTTGAGAAATAAAAATGATAGCATTTATTGTGCTTCATTGGCCTTTAACCAAATCTGTTGGATAAGAACCCAAAATACATCTACTCATAAATTATTTCTTAAGTTTCATTTTATAAAAAAAAATTACGGAAAATTTCGCAATCTTTCACTTCAAAATATATTGACTCGTGTTATATATAGGGGAGTTTTATTTTAAGTTTCCAAGCATCGCAGTAGATATTCAAAATGTTTGAAAGTATTATGTAGTGTCTGCCATTAATACAGTATCGTCTGCTTAACTTGTTTAGCCAATGTTACAAGTGTGATTGCTTCAGTCTAACTCCTATTTTTTATCGTATTTACCTAACACTTTAGAACTATAGGTGATGAAACGGCTTAGCCCATTCAAGTTAAGAGAAAATATCAGGGGAAATACTCTCCCCCTGTCTAACCCTAGGGTTACAAGAGAAGTAATAAGTTTTGCTATCAACATAATAACATAAAGTCTCACATATTTTCCATTCATAAAAGACCTAGTCACTTTAAACAATCTGCTAAAAATGCCCAGATACTACTAGACGTTTTATTCTTCTCTTTCTATCTCTAACTTTTCTTTCTGACATTACAGTTATGATTTAATATCTTCATTACTTTGGTTTATAGTACTCGTATGTCTTAATAAAACAAATCTAAATAAAGATAAAACTTACTTTTCTTTTTCTGTTTTAACAACCAACAAAAATCAATAAAATTGAATCAATTAAATCAGTTAAAAAACTGTAATTAAGAATTTGTATTCGTTTAATGATTTACATATAAGATACAAATTATTCTAATTTGAAGAATATAAGCCGTGCCATGACAAAACCAACATAGTGGGTTTGCGACCAGCATGGATCCAGACCAGCCTGCGCATCCGCGCAGTCTGATCAGGATCCATGCTGTTCGCTGTCAGTTTCTCAACTTGTAAAAGAGTTGATAAGCGAACAGCATGGATCCTGATCAGACTGCGTGTATGCGCAGACTGGTCTGGATCCATGCTGGTCGCAAACCTATTATGTTGGTTTTGTCATGGCACGGCTCAATTATAAGAAGTCATCGTAATTCTAGAAAATGGTATGATAGTGATAATAGTTTTAAAAAACACATACAATGGTAATTATGGCCGTCGCATTATTTAAATATTTGTCCTAATGTCAATGCTCAAATAATAAAAATTTAAAGCTCCTGTATGTTGTATTTCAGGTTTCAACCACACTTTAGTGATATTTTATATATGTGTATAATTATGCTTCTAAAACAATTTTCAAACATCGAAGAATATGTAAAATATGTACTGCAAACTGACTTAAAATCAAATGGAACATGCACGAAATCATTGTACCATTTAAAATAGAAAAAAATAAGAATTCCTAAATAAAATACAAAACGGAAAAATTGTAAATGTTGTAGGCCGGGTTTGATTGAGCCTGTTCAAGAACGGTACTGTCAAGTGCAAACTACCGTCCACGCCCCCTAGCACCGGCTAAAGTTGAATTCAACATTAAAACAGGAGAATGGTGAAATTTTGAATTAAGAAGTAGATGGATGTGTTCATACACGTTAAAGGCACGTTGGATTAAACATTCTCTTTCACCTCTAATACATAAAAAATGATTATTCTAATAAAAAAAGAGAAAGAAAAAAGAAACAACAATTATATATGTTTGTGGGCGACATTGTCCAACCTTGAAACCTGTTTTGGTATTTCTCCTATTTTGAGGGGAATTATACCTCAGAAACAAATAAGTTTTTCTTAATTTACAAATGGCAGACAAAAGTTTTATAATGTTTAAATAATGGTTTTAGAGCATGCCACATGCTTGTCACCTGAAGAAAGACAATTATCTGTGATATATATATAGTGTGACTTTCATACAAAATACTAAATCAATATAACTTACCAATTGCTTAAAAGGAAAGTAGCAAAACATGGTTCCGGTCATTGCCCAATTAGTATCGTTTTGGAAACAGGACACCAAAAATAAAACGCTTTTGAGAGATAAGAATAAAAGTGTTTTTTTTCCCCTGAGACATAATTGGCCTTTAAAGGCATTCATTATTATTCATTCTCCTTTTATTATTTTGTTTCACAGATTCTATCTCAGCCATAATGCAAGAATACAAGTGGAAGAATACTGCTATCATATACGACCTGACCTACGTTTTCTTCGATCTTGCGGCTTCGAACCTCGTGTACGACTTCAGATTATCTAGTACAGTTGCACGGCCATATGATGTCCCATTCATCCCAGACAAAGTATCTGATTACGGAGACCTTCTTGTAGAGGCTAGTGCGCATGCCCGGGGTAAATATTTTGTTTCGGTATTCTATTATTAAACTGTTTCTTAACAAATCAAAAGCTTGGTAGCTCAACGACAATCATTTTAAAGCATCTCAGTAATTATAATTTTGTTGAAGGACTCTTATTGCATAATGAGAAAATTTAGAACGTGACAAAATGTTTCTCACGAGCCTTATGATCGATTATATATTTTATAAAAAAACATACTGAAGACAAAAAAGAGTCGCCAATGATTTTAAAATTTAAAATCGTATAGTGGTTGCAATTTTCTCAATGCAAATAAAGATTTAATATAATTGTAACATTTAAATACTGCTATAAAATTTCTATTTCTATTGCTCGTTATTTGTAAATATTTAAGCCGTTTGTTACTTTTTTAATTTCAGTTTTCATAATTTTCTGTAACTCGGACATGTTGAGAGACTTCCTGTACAGGGCATATCATCTGGGCATGGCAAATGGGGATTACGTTTTTATAACCATGGAGTTATTTCCAAGTGACTGGCTTGGATATTACACGGAATTCCTTCGAGGTAAGGTTCTCATATATAATGACGTTGTTATGACGACATTTCCGTTAATTTACGTCACTATTCAATTCGCGTGATTTTAGCGTTGTCCAAATGGTAAACGACTGCATGAATTCTTTAATTGAATGACTGTATGTGCAAGTGACGATATGTGCCATACCGCAAGAAAAGAAGGAAGTTAGATTTTGAATCTGATAAAAATCGTATCCTCTCTTGGAACACTTGTTATTGCGATATTGCGTGTGACTTATTGGTTGTGTTCATCTCACATATAATTAGAATGAGGTTATGTTGTACATTATAAGTACATTTTCTACATTACAAAGTGTCTTCATTCAGGTTAAAATGTGTTTTAAGTGAGAAATTCTATATAATATTTTTTTTCCAAACATAAATAAAAAATTGTCAGATATATTTTCAATTAAAACGCGCCAATGGCATTTCCCTAGCGTAACGTTATTAGAGACTAAACAGGGTATAAATATATGACAAATAATACCTTATTGATTAAATGTCTTTTATTTCATGCTTTCCAGTGTTTTATTGTAATATATCAGATGATTATATTCTGATAAACCACTAGTGAAATTTATAAAATATAATTTTCACTGTAGCCGAACTATATCTGAATGCGGATGAAAAGATAATCATAACTAAATGGAATAACAGGCAGAAATAAATGCCGTCATGCGTAAATTTTGCTTCTTTAGGAAAAGAAAGTCGACGTCACCATACATCATGTTAAAATGTAACAAAATAAGAGAAATTTAACAGAACTATATTTCAAAATTGATGATGTGACGTCATGATGTGATGACGTCAAAAGGGAGAATGCGCGACATTACGCGGCAAAATCAGTAAAAAAAATACTTAAAATCACTTAAAAAGCATGAAATGAAAAGAAAATTTATTTGTTTTATATATAAGATTGAAATATATTTCATTCGTGAACACCAGCTATTTTATTTTCACTTGTGGCTACGCCACTCGTGAAAATATTGCATCTGGTGTTCACTCAGTGAAATTATATTTCAATCTTACATGCAAAACAAACAAATATCCTCTATATCATTTAGACATCTACTAGTATATATAAATGGAATTGAAGCGGATTTTATATACTTAAACTCAAAATATTTAGAAGGAGCAATGTTGGAGTTACCCCACAATTAGGCCTCATTATTATACCTCATTGAGATTAATATCCATTTATACATAATAATACCAGCTTAATCAATTTTTTTGTGATTTAATGACCTCTTTCTGACTTACTTGTTAGAAGTGTATTCGATTGTTCAAAAGTATGTAAGTGTATTCAGGTCTGTTCTGACAAAACTTATCTTCTTCAATGTACTTTTGTGCTTTGATATAAAAAATATAAATAATGTATTGTTATATTAAGCTTTAACTGTTTAATGTCTTTTAAATAAAACAACAATGACTATCTGTTTTGATTTTAACGTGCATGTTTGAAAAACAAAACCGAACTTGTTTAATAATACTCCTTTATGACATGTTCTCCGGTGAGACGATTGGTTATACTTAATCACGTGTTCAAATTCCCGTTACACAAAGAAAGGAAAGAAAGGGTAAACCGGAAGTTCATCATAATTATGTACAACAATAAGCTAATTTCGTATATAAGCCGCATGATAGGTAAAACCAATGGCCTTTTCTTAATCTCTCCCGAGTCATGTTTGTCACGGAGGGGAAGGCACATGACAGGTCATATTCCAAGTACCAGGGACGATTGTTCATTTAAATCACAAATAGCTTGTAACTTTGAAGTTCTTATACAATACTATAACTGAAGAACGAAGATATACATACATACTCAGTAGATAAAATTCAAGTTTTTCTATGAATAAGGGATTTATTTTCATCGAATGGTATGAATATGATAATTTTTATACCACTTTAAAATGCATCTAATTCAATTCACTTTGCTTCTACTTTCCGGCGCCCGTAAATAATTTTCTTGACTTCTAACACTTTTTGTTTGTTTGATTTTTTGTTCTTTTATTTAGTAATTGTAAGTTTGTTTGATAATCAATATGTAAATGCGAGCAGGTCTTTGTGTCGTACATTCTATACTGTATACGATTATTTACATGACGCATTCTTTGAATTTCGTTACCTAGGTGACGAGAAGGACCATGAAGTGACAAAGGCGTATGAATCTTTGTTACTGCTCACACTTAGACAGCCTGATAACCCGGAATACGAACTATTTGCGGAACAAGTGAAACTTAGAGCCAAACGAGATTACGGTTATGAATTCGGAGCTGGGGAGAAGGTATTATCTAATAGTCAAACATGACCTCCAAATATACCCATATTTAGTGTCTTTTAGGGTTTTTTAACAGTTGCTTACCATGGAAAGCATTGTCATGGATTTACGTCATAAAACATTGATTTACGTCATAAAACATTTTTAAGAAACTGTTTGAAGTACATTGTTATGGCCTAAATGAGACTTATTACAAAACAGATAGAGCTTTTAACCTGAATTAGGAAATTTAATGGCAGAAAGGCTGTAAATACATTTAATACAGAAAATTGTATTATTTGAAGATATACTATGCTCATATTTAATATGAGAAAATATTGATAAATGCCACACAGCCTCTTTGTAAATATAAAATAAACATGTTTTGACTCTACACAAAGTAGATATGTTTTGTTTAAAAATAACACACTTTAGGTGGTCACAATAGGAATATAATTCTATAGTATCATTAAGAAAACTCGCATTTTATTTTAAGAAAATGCCACCTTTACTTGTTTTGCAATAGGTAACATAGTTTATTCATTCTTTTATTCAAAAAAGAAAAAATCAATAAAAATTACACAGATTTAATAAATTTTTGTGATTAAAATATCTTAAGTCAAGGAAGAGCTTAGTAAAGCACTTTAAATACATTTTTTTAATTCTATTCTTTTTCCGAAGACGTTTATTGTGGAATATATAAATAAAGTATGATTTATGTCTTTTTTTTAAGGTGAATTATTTCATAACAGCATTTTACGACAGTGCCATGTATTTGGCGTTGTCGTATAAAACTGTCCTTGACGAGGGAGGGGATATCAATGATGGAATGCTCGTTGCCCAGCGACTATGGAATTCAACATTTGATGGTATTTATTTCGTTAAATTGATTATCGATTAAAGGAGTCAATTGTTTTATTTGATGAAAATAGAGTTTAAGTTTATTTGACACAAAGATGAAATTTCAAAGATATGTTCACATGTTGAAGATCTGCAAATGGTTTTATTTATCAGCCATGGTATTGTAGCACGGGTTTCCACGTGTATAGATAGCTATTTTATATGATGACAATTTATTCAGTTCCGAATAGTACTCATAAAGTTCCTCGTAATACATGATACAATGCAAGTTACTGTGTCACAATGGTTAAATCGTAATAAAAATATGACTTTTTGTTTTCTTAAGTCTATTATCCAACGTATATATGATCAATATTATCAACAATGGTTTTCTGAAATTAATAATTCTAGCAAACTTGATACGTATAGTTTAATTAAAAACACGTTTGGAAAAGAGAAGTATCTTGATTGTATTATAAATAGTAAATTTAGAATAGCCCTTTCACGTTTTAGATGTTCTGCTCATAAATTAATGATTGAAGAAAGAAGATTTAGAAATATTGAAAGAAATCAACGATTTTGTTTAAAATGCAATATGAATGTAGTGGAAACGGAATATCATTTTTTACTTGCTTGTCCGTATTACATTGATCTACGAAGAGAATATTTACCTAAATACTACTGCTCTTGGTCAAATGTACACAAATTTAAAATGTTAACGAATAACTCGCAACAGAATGTTATAAAGAAATTATCTCAATTTATTTACTATGCAACTTTAGCTGGAGAAACAACTGGTAGCTAATTCCAACTAATTTCAAACATTAATTATTATAGTCTTAATATTTATTTCATGACTGTGATATTATATATATGTAATATTACTTTTCTCGTATTTAGATGTTATATGCATTTGTTAATATGTTTATATGTATGTATACACGCCATTATTGTTTATGGCAATAGACATTATGTTTGTGCCTTAATAAAATCTTGAATCTTGTCATCAATATTTATTTTAGTTATGCGTTTATCACGTAATATCGTTTAGGTATAACAGGGCCCGTTAAAGTTGACGGTGTTGGAAATCGAGTGGCTGACTTTGATGTTTTTGACATGAAGTCGCCGGATACGAGGGAATTTCAGGTGAGAAAGTCATGTCAACACAGTGAATGGGAAAAATGCACAATTGTGCTGTGTTCAGATAGGGCCAGCGCGTCACCATCACAGTGTCATGTTTCGCGCTTTAATATATTTCCCTTTGCACTTTAATATTGTCAAATGTAAAAATATTGGTTTTACTTCACGAATTTATAAGTTACATAATATGGTATTTATCCCTTTGCACTATAATATTATACAATGTAGAGAATATTGGCTTTACTTCATGTATCATTATAATATAGATAGAATACCTGTTACATAATGATGGAACTATTTTCCTTTGCACTATAATATTATCCGATGTATTACTTAATGTATCATTATTATACAAGATTGAGTATCTGTTTCATAACGATGGTACTTTCAATATGATATTGCCCAATGTAGAGAATATTGGCTCTACTTCGTGTATCATTATAAGTTACACAATTATAGTACATGTACTATATCCCTTTGTACTATAATATTATCCAATGTAGAGAATATTGGCTCTACTTCTTGTATCATTATAAGTTACACAATGATGGTACATGTACTATATCCCTTTGTACTATAATACATTGTCCAATGTAGAGAATATTGGCTATACTTAATGTATCATTATAATATAGATTAAATACCTGTCATATAATGATGAACTTATTTTTTTTTGGACTATAATACATGTATTGTCAAATGCCTAAGGTAGATAATATTGGCCTGACTTCATGTATAATTGTTCTCACATACAGTTGGTAGGAAGATTTCGTGGAGCAACGCAGCAGTACGTGACCGAAAACAACGTCGACATTGTATGGCCAAACGGACTTCCGGTAAACAAACCACGCTGTGGATACAGCAACGAACTTTGCATTGAACCACCAGGTAAATAAAGAAACATTTTTTTAGAAAGAGTAAATGAAGGAGTACTGTCTAAGAATATATTAATGGGAGTTTCTTGTGTTTGATGTTGTTGGTTTTCATTTTTGTAAATATACATCTGCTTAATAAATTTCTGCAAAAACGTCGAGACGCTGATTTAATGAATTATTCTTGTAAAATTGATTGACTTCGAATCAACGTTTCTTCCTTCCAAGAAATAACATGACTACCCATGTAACCGGCGTCAAAATTTATTTTATTATTTCGCAAAGTTATGTTTCAGAAGTTCACAGACGCTTTAGCATAAATTTTGTACAAAATTTGAAGACTATCGTCTCATAACAAAGAAAGTTTAAAGTACTGAATAATTCTAGGTGAAAATCACCTGGTAATTCTTTCGTTAATATTAAGTTTTAATTTTATTTTTATTACCTGGAGTAATACGAAAAACGTCAAAACAGCAATGCGTAGTTTTGTATTTTGATGACAGAATAGAAATAATCTAACGAATATAAGTTCTGTAGAATATTTTTGTTTGTTATTTCAGATAACAACACAACAACAATAATCGTGATCTGTGTTTCTATTGTTACCTTGGCAACGGTTGCTCTGATTATTATTTCATTGTCATACAGGTATAGTTACACGTCATTATTTACTTGATGTTATATATACCAATTTTAACAGTTAAATTAATGGTTCATCACAATGCCTTATATGAGATAATTAACAAATAAAGCTAATTGAAAGATGTTGACTTATTCATATAACAAAGCACATTAATTTTTTTGTAAACATATAGCTTTATTTGTTATGTTTATTTTTGATAGAGTTAAATTAGATATCAAAACCAAATTACAACTTTTTAATTCTATGGTTGTACCTATTTTGCTTTATGGATCGGAAATTTGGGGTGTTTACAATTTCAAAGAAGTAGATAAACTACATATAAGATTTTTAAAATATTTGTTAGGAGTACGTAAACAGACACCAAATATGGCAATTTATGGGGAATTAGGGATATTTCCATTGTCTATTATTGCAAAAGAGAGAGCACTCAAATACTGGTTGAAAATTAAAAATTCTGTAAACATGCCTATTTTTAATGCTTATATTGACCAATGCAACAATGTAAATATTTCTTGTTGGGCAAGTCGAATTCATTCCATTTTAGATCACCTTGGATATTCGCATATAAGACTTAACTTCGATACAAGTATGAATTATTTTCCTCTGTTAAAAAGAACATTACGTGATCAGTTTATACAAGAATGGAATACATCGTTAGATAATATATCTAAATTAGATTTTTACAGACAATTTAAAACAACATTTAGCTATGAAACTTATTTAGATAAGATTACCAATGATATGCATAGAAAACAATTTACATGTTTAAGACTTTGTTCACACAATTTAGAGGTAGAACTAGGCAGATATAGTAGATTAGATAGAGAAAATCGTCTATGTAAAATGTGTAATCAAAATGTAACAGAAACCGAATATCATTTTCTCCTATGTTGTACAAAATACTCTCAAATTCGACAGAAATACCTTGGTAACATATCATGGCCTTCCTTGAATAAATTTAATAGTATTATGTCTTGTAACAGCAAAAAGAAACTGATTTTATTATCGAAATTTATTAAAGAAGCTTTTGAATTGCGTAAAAATACCCTTGAAACTTTAACTGTTTCATGAAAGTTTTTGTTTGTATGAATTTGTATTGTTATTATACTATTCTGTATTGTATGTCTTTGCCATACTTCATGTGTTTTCTTTGTAAATGGCCAAAGGCAATTGATTTGCTGATGATGCTAATAAATTTGAAACTTGAAACTTGTTATCCTCTATTTTAGCTTGTGTAAAAATCCAAAAGTAAAAGCTTGATGAAAAATATTCAAATTGCTGAGTAATGAAAACGAAATGTAGGTACGTAGGTACGTAGGTAGGCAGGTGCGTGCATATGTATGTAAGGGCTTTAATTTGTATAAAATGGCATATTATAGAAATTCATGATAGAAAGCAAATATCATGTGGAAAAAAAACAACGTAAATACGTATAATTTGCTCTAAATGAATAAATATAATATTATTTGCAGGAAAATAAAGTCAGAACAAGAATTAGGCCGCAAGACATGGTTGGTTGAGTACAGTGATATACAGATTCGTAAAGGACGTTTGAACGACTCGTTCCTATCAAAGTCACTCCTGACTCTCGATACAAAAGTAGGTGATCATTACTTACATAAAAGGAACTCCACTAATGTCCAAAACCTAATACAAAAGAAGGTGCTTATTACTTACATAAAAGGAACTCTACTAATGTCCAAAACCTAAGAGTATCAAATTTAAATTTCTTACATTGATCAATTAGGGGCACTTTTGAACAGAAAGATCTGCAAAAGAAAATTTGAAAATATACTCCGAAATGAATTGAAAATCGTATTTTTTGTGCTTTTCTTAAATAAGTGTGGCGAAATCATAAAACAGGTTTAAATTCATCAATCGTCATATTTAATATTTATTTAGAAATCTTGAAGTTGGTTAAAGTTTGTCGTGGTTCCTTATCATATCACTGATTTTATCATATCATTGATTGTTTTTTTATTTATTTTTTTTATTTTTTGAATTTCATTTATAAGAAGGCTGTTATACTAACATGCGGAACGCATCTATATATAGAATATTCCAATTCTGAACATGGCCTTATATATTAATTGAAGAATAAGGCAATGACTCGCCTACAGTGAAATGGCTATTATTTTTAATGAATATAGGATTTGAAGGCTATATTGTCAATTACTTATTGTAATGAGCAATTTTAATTCTGTCAATCACAGTTTACAAAGTATCTTTAAATCATGATGGCGGGCATGAGATTCTGAGATAAATGGAGTGTTCTAAAATTAATAAAGATATCGCAGAAAGGCTAATTAACCTGTATGTCCCCTTATTAACTGTACATTCCCATGGGTTAGAAAGTTAATACCATTTTCGATTATCTCTTTTATATCAAATGGAACGAGTTAAATGGCAGCGTTTCTTTATACGTCATTAAAAGGACTGTTAATTATTAAGTTACTAAAAACATGTTCTGATTTCTATGGGAAATAACAAAACCTCGTACAAAAAGGTATAGAAAAACGCTACACGATAATGAAACTTATTTAGGTCTGATAGGGAACATATAGATTGTTTATACGATATAAAATGTCATTATGGGGAAAAGTAACAAGTTCAACAACGAAAATCTATATGTCATTATTTCTCAAATCTAAGCAGAGAAATGTGATTATCACATGATCTATGTTCGTCACTTTAATGCGTTGATTTTTACATGTTCACTCGTCACGGCTTTGTAAATAATTGACACATTTTATTATTTTTCGGCACATTTCGTCGTTATATAATTATAGTCATCGTGAGAATGCAGTATTAAATGGTATATCATAAATATTTCATTATATACATGTATATGTGACACAAACAGTTGCAAACGATAACTTGGGTAATGTTTTACGTTTAACTTTTCCACAAAAACGATGCATGTTCATCCCTTTCATTACACTTATTTATCACATACCCGTGCCGCTTTTGCGACTTCGTAAAAATGGTACTGCACGGCCGTGCATATATTTTAACGTGACGTCATTTGCGTTATACAAAAATAGCGTAAAGCAATCTTGTATACGTATCAGTATAGAGATCTGTACAAGGGAGGTAATCACTGTGAGGATTTTGAGTTAATGTTAGCGCTATTTCTTTTAATGACTTTAAACAGTCTTTATTTCGGGTATATGATATTAAGAATATCATGTTCATGTAGATTCATTACTAAATTTATTGAACTCTTTGAATATAATAATATTTAGCTCATTAGTGGCTCGCATAATATAATTTTATTCAACTCGTTCAAAAAATGCTGTAAATTTGAACCTACACTCATTTAATATTCTCTTCCCATTTTATCTCAGTCATTACACGATCCAGTCTTTATGTAGATCTAATATTGTTATTGTTTATTCATTATAATATTTGAAAAACAAAAATGTACATGTATATTTTACTTTTCTCATAAAGGAGGAACTTGCGCAGGTGTTTACTAGAACAGGGTATTGTAAAAATCAGACGGTTGCTATTAGAAAACTGCATTTACAAAACGTTGAAATTACACGCCAGATTGCTGTTGAGTTCAGACAGGTACTTCGTTTTATATCCTTTTTATTTTTTTTCACTCAATTGAATTTATTTGAATTGGTATATTATTTAAAAGGAGTGAGACAAAAAAAAAGAATTGGAGCACCACTCTAAATACCGTATTCCGGTACATACCGGACAAGACGCTTGAATGATTAAATGGTGAAATCTCGCACTTTCACCTTACGGAATGAACTTTAAAACAGCTAATTCATCTTTTCACACCGATTTATATACGATAAGGAATAAAAAATGTGAAATTCGGCAAAAAAATCATATTTGTCTATTTTGTGATCATGATTTCTGCAAGCGTCTAGAGGTACTGCTTCAATCCTGTATTGAGTTAAATCCATTTAAAAGTATCTCGTTTTTGTAGCATAATGGCATGATGAAATATGTACATCGTACACTTCTTTAAATGTTTAAAAATGAACATTTACATTTAAGACCCATTACCAGATAGGATGTGATCCCTCGGAAGCATCAATCACTACAAAATTACATTAAAATTGTAGACTCGGTCTGTACATGAGGGATAATGAAAAAGTGCAACATCCCTCACGCCCGCCCAGTTTCCAAAAAGGTTACTCATTGATTCCATAGCTGAGCTTTTTTTTGCTTCTTTTTGCATTTTTTGGCAATTAATAAAGTTTATATAGTGATTTAGTTTTTTGAATAGAAGTCAAAATACCACTTTGTTTACATTTTTCTTTCTTTATGACAAATTATGTCGCATTCAGCATTTTTTGTCTTCAGGTAAAAAAACATCTCACTTTTTAATTATTTTCCCGACTAAATACGCCTTAATTAACTAAAATTTTACAACGCAGTATTTGAACATACTCCGACCAGAACAATAGTTTTTATTCTTTTTTATGATTTTTAATGATGCTGTGCAGACAGTAAGGTCCAATAAGTAATAAGTTTAAACCTTATCACCGTAATGCATTGTATAATATGTATATGTTTACCGCAAGCTGTCACTAAAACGAATCCTTGTGGCTGAGGGGTTACCTTCACGGGTTGTAGCATCAGAATTGCAGCCGCCGTTTAACCCTGCGTGATCCTAAGAGGCGGCTTAATGGGTTCGAGTCTGTTAGCTCCAGCGGGTGAAGTGGTTTTTACCCCTGGTGTTGCTTAATGTTTGAACACTCAGTGTTAGCCAAAATAATCTTTCCTGTGTCAGCGCCATATGACGGCACCATATGACCTAAATTGTGTTGGCGAGCCGTAAAACCAAACAAACGCCATTACACTGACAAAACATGCAGTCAATATCAACACTTTTTGCCTGCTATTATTATGCTTCACGACATTTAATTGACAAGAGATGAAAATAACTAGAAATTTGACATTTTATACCAAACTAATATTAAAATATGGGGAAATCTGATCCTAATCTCATCAATGTAGAACATAAATTCAATACTGTATAAAACATTATACTTGGAATATATTTTCTTTTGGTCTAGAATGAACTTTAAATAAGCGTCACGACAAAACCAACATCCAGCATGGATCCAGACCAGCCTGCGCATCCGCGCAGTCTGATCAGGATCCATGCTGTTCGCTATCAGTCTCTCTACTTGTAATAGAGTTGGTAAGCCAACAGCATGGATCCTGATCAGACTGCGCAGATGCGCAGGCTGGTCGGGATCCATCCTTGTCGCAAACGCACTATGTTAGTTTTGTCGTGACGCGGCTCATTATGTTTATGTTTAGTCGTATAAGCAAGTCATGACTCACGAGACGTAAGCAGAACTTTAACAATTTTTTAATTAACAGTCTCATTTTTTATACAAGAATAGTCAATAAATATACACTAAATTAACACTTTCTTTTTTTTCTCACAGATGCAGCTTGCCTCTCACGGAAATATTGCAAAGTTCATTGGGGCGTGTCTGGATAATCAACACAGTATTATTCTTATGGAATATTGCCCACGTGGAAGTCTACAGGTGATTATATTTAAAGGACAGATACCTCAAGCCCTTTTGTGTTTTATATTGTAATTAATAATATAGACAGTTCAAAAGATCACTCTGTGGAATATTTCCTGCTTTAATATACATGTATTAAACTATGTTTCGATATAACCGGCAACAAAATCTAACCACCTCATTGGTTTCTTAAAGGGACTTCACTGAGGTGTTTTACATGACGATTCAGAAAATAAATGTTCCATTTGATGCAGGTCTAGACCAATAACGTGCGTGCAAATTTTAGATTATTCGACCAATCCTTTTTTCCCAGAATAATTATTCTTATTGTGAAGAATGACAAAAATTGAAAAGCGTTGCAACGGGCTAAGATTAGCACAAAAACGATTTTCAATTTAATCTGAGTATAACTCTTAATTAACTTTTTCACATCTTTCTGTTTTAAGTGTCCTTAATTGTTGATCTATGTGTGAAATTCGAATTTTATTTTTTGAGGCTTTTTGGACCTCAGTTGGAAGGCTGAAGGATGGCATGAAAAAATGTGCCCATAGTAGACCAATTCACTTTAAGGGATGGCATGAAAAATGTGCCCATTGCAGACCAATTCACTTTAAGGGATGGCAAGGAAAATGTGCCCATTGTAGATCAAGTCACTTTAAGGGATGGCAAGGAAAATGTGCCCATTGTAGATCAATTCACTTTAAGGGATGGCAAGGAAAATGTGCCCATTGTAGATCAAGTCACTTTAAGGGATGGCAAGGAAAATGTGCCCATTGTAGATCAATTCACTTTAAGGGATAGCATGGGAAATGTGCCCATTGCAGACCAATTCACTTTAAAGGATAGCATTGGGCATACGCTTGTGAAAATGACGTATATTAGCTATGAATGAAACAAACACCTTATATTATCATCAGATAATTACGATACATGGTGATATAAAATGTTGTTTATTTATTTGTTTATTTCATCAACAGGATATGTTACAAAACGATAGTATAGAACTAGATTGGGCATTCAGATATTCGCTCATCAACGACATAATTAAGGTAACATTTTCATGAGATTTCTGTTATTTATGTATAAACTTAATTAATTACGTAAGAAGTTAATTAATTTACAAATTAAAGCAATTTTTTCTAAAGAAATTATCTGAACATTTATGGATTCTTAAATTTCATTGCATGTGTTCGAATAATTGTAAACTGAAATTAAATCAAAATTAGAATCGTAAATTTTGTATAATGTTTTTAATGTTTTTATTTATAGTTAATATTTAAATGTCTTTGTTGGTGAGTTGTTCTTGATGACGATGTTAAAGGAAATTAATTCAGGATTCGTTTTGTCGTTCGTTAACTACAACTTTGCGATTGAAGGTCACACACCTCATTAGTATATTTCAGTTTAATAGTTCTTGAAAAATATCATTTACATTTCAACAACACTGTTATTTCCTGTAAGACGACTTCTTGTTTGCAAATTAATATGAAATGATTCTGTAAGGAAATTTTATAAAGCACATAAAACTTTACATGAATGCTTTTATAGTGACATATAGGAGTTAATTATAACATATTTACAAAATTCAATGCCAAGGTCATCACATAAGAAAAAAGATCTAAATTTAAATGCTTAACTTATTAAGACTTATGAGCATGACATTGACCTTCAGAACAACGCCAGATAGAGATTGTTTTAAGGTATAGAAAGGAAGGAATATTAAAATAATCACAAGAATGGAAAATACCAGTTACGCACAAATTTAATGCCAAGACTTAAAAGCCCTTTTAGCCCGAAAAATGATATTATTTGTATTTTCTAATAATTTATATTTTGGCGTTCTGTAAAAGTTTCTAAAGTCATACGTTTTGCTATATTATTACTGAATGAACGTTTACATTTTTGTCAAAAGTTAGGTTACAGTGATGTTTTGTATGGAAGACAAAATGCCGCTGTATTTACGGTTTGCTTCTATTATAACAAATCCGTTCACAACCAACACTAATTTTTTCATATATTAATTATCTAATATGCTCTTATACCATTACATAAACATTATTATAATTTCCATATTTGCCGTGCATTTATATTAAAATAAAACATTATAATAATAATAATTATATTTGCAGTGTATTTAGACCAAAATACGAATATATTTTTGGCCGAATTTATAAATGAAGATTTGTCTTTCGTTATGACCATCAAACATTATTTAATAACAACAACAACAGATCGACACAATGGTGGTTATTTTAAGATAATTTGAGTCCATTGACATTTGACATAAACTAGAAATAAAGACAAAAACCACGTTACATAATGGTGGTCATTTTAGTATCACAGTTTAAAATTGTTTTACTATTTAGGAGAGAAGATGTGTAAGCGGCCGGATAGCTTAGTCGGTAGAGCCGCGAAACGGTATTTCAATGGTTTGGGGTTTAAGTGACGGTCAGGCTGCACATTAAGATTATTCATTTATACATGTATATTGTATATTATATCATTATAGGGAATGATTTATTTACACTACAACAGTCCTATTCACGTGCATGGTCGCCTCTCGAGCACGAACTGTGTAATTGACAGTAGATTTGCTCTCAAGCTGACCGACTATGGTCCAAAAAGTCTGCTTCTTAAAGACAGAGCAGAGGAAAGAAGAGTATCTCAACTTGCACGTACATTTAATAGTGGAAGTAAGTTTTCCGTCCCGTCAGATTGTTTGTCATTTATTGAAATATGCAAACAACTATATGAGTACATGTTACCTCACTATGTTATTATGTTATAATATGTATTATGCATGTATATGTATATTTGTTAAATCATTTGTAAATGAATTTTTTATGGATGATATGTAATATTTAAAAGAAGTGTTTGTCAACCAAACAAATTATATTATAATACTGCACGTTTGTGACGTCGCTTTTCATTGGATAATCGTGACGTTTATATAGTTTTATATACACGGCTGTTGTCGATTCATGAAGAAATCCTACTTTTTTCTCTAAAAAAATAATGTTTGCTGTATTATAAATTCGTTATAAAGATTGTTGACATGTTATATGGCCGTATATAAACGGCTGTTTGCAATATAACCCTCGCCTGGCGGCTCGGGTTATATTTACAAACAGCCGTTTATATAGGGCCATATACATGTAACCTGTTAACGATCTATATAACTAATAATATAAACGTCACGATTATCCAATGAAAAGCGACGTTACAAACGTGCAGTATTATGAAGAGCCATAAAACCTGTAACTAATATCATGAACTTTTTAAGAAAGTTATTTTATAATTCATAAAATTGCAGTACTACAGCGAGTTAGTACTGATAAATATTTACATAGAATCATTCAACTCAAAGGTTGTTGTCATCATATAAGATGCATTCTGGTGATTTCAGAGTTGCTATGGACAGCACCAGAACATCTGTGTTTGACTCCCGGGGGTGTCATCGGCTCGTCACAAAAAGGCGATGTTTATTCTTTCGCCATCATACTTCAAGAGATTGCAATGAGAGCAGGGCCCTTCGAGGGTAACTCGCAAGATGTAGATGGTAATGTAACAGAAATAAATTATTTGTTCTCATTTGTAACTTATCCCTATTCTTTTAGCTTTGACATTCTATTTCATTTTTGAACACCTATTTAAAGTTAATATCATTAATGTTTCTTTTTCTGTTCCGGTAAACAACACTATGTAAAATTTTGCTTTTTACCATCGCAAGGAAACAGCTGAATTAGAGAAATTCACCAAATCTTATTTTAAATTTCATGCTGTAACAGTCAGTATTTATCTTAAAGGAACTCCATCCATGTCAAAAAGCCTGAAAACATAAAAATTGAATTTCATAAATTGATCGGCCCGGGCACTTGAATAAAATTACGAAAAAGATTACTAAGAAACATACTCAAAAATGAATTGAAATCTTATTTTTGTGCTATTTTCAGTCCGAATTGAGTGAAAAGCCTTCTAACGCTTTTAAATTTTAGGTAATTTTCCACAATTAGAATAATTATTCTGAAAATATAGAGCGAGCGAATGATCTGAATTTTGCACAAAAGTTGTTGGTTGGTCTAGAACTACATCAAATGGAATCTCGAGAAATTATTTCCAGTCCCGTCATGTAAAAAAAAACTCAGTGGAGTCCCTTTAATTAAACGCTGTTAAAATGTAACTTGCAAAAGAAAAAGCTTAATGTGAAATATTATTGTCTTTGGTGATTTTAATATCAGTCTGCAATTTTGTAAAACTGAGGATGGTTCCTTACAACAGCAATGGTAAATTGCATGTACTTACCTTGAATATAAAAAACAACAACATTGAAATATTGTTTGCTTTTCTTTATTTTAGAAATATTAAAAATACTCGCCGATAACAATGGAGATATTGTGCGACCAGTTGTCCCTCCAGATGCATGCTCGTCAGCCCTGACCTATATGATGAAAAATTGCTGGCAGTCAAACCCACTAGATAGACCTTCATTTAATGAACTCGATGAATCTTTCAGAAAAATGCGAGTGTAAGTAAAAAAACATTAACAGTGGAATATTATTTTTGGAATTCAATATGCAACGATCAATGCTTAAAGTGAATTGGATTATACAGAATTTACGTCAGAAGTTATAAGCTTATAGACACATTTTCAAATTACTTTTTGTTTTCATTTTGCTACTTTTCTGACAAATTATCTCACAATTATTATGCTCCCCGAAATATTTCGGGGGAGCATATAGTCGCCGCCTTGTCCGTCCGTCCGTCTGTCCGCTTTTCTTGTCCGGGACATAACTTTGAAACAACAAGAGGTATCAACATAAAACTTTGTAGGTTGATAGATATCATTGAGTAGGTGTGCAGCACACAAGAACTGTAACTCTGCTTTGCCTAATTTTTGAATTATTCCCCTTTGTTTATTTTTACACTTTGAACTTTGTCCGGGACATAACTCTAAAACTATAAGAGGTATCAACATGAAAATTTGTAGGTATATAGATCTCATTGAGTAGGTGTGCAGTGCACAAGAACCGTAACTATGCATTGCCTAATTTTTGAATTATTCCCCATTGTTTATTATCCCCCGCCGAAAAATTTCGGCGGAGGATATAGAAATAGTCTCCATTCGTCCGTCCGACCTTCCGTCCTTCCGTCCATCCGTCCGTCCTTCCGTCCGACATTTTTGTCCGGAGCATATCTCTAAAAGTATTTGAGTTATCAACTTGAAACTTCATAGGTGGATAGACCTCATTGAGGAGGAGTGCAGTGCACAAGAATGATAACTCTACCTTGCATGATTTTTGAGTTATTGCCCTTTGTTATTTTTCAAAATTGATTTTTGTCCAGATCATAACTCCAAAAGCCTATGAGATATTAACATGAAACTTCATAGGTGCATAGATCTCACTCAGGAGGTGTGCAGTGCACAAGAATGATAACTCTACCTTTCATAATTTTTGAGTTATTGCCCTTTGTTATTTTTCATACCTAATTTTTCACCTGAGTGGAGCATAACTCAAAAAGTGTTTGAGATATCAACATGAAATGTCATAGGTGGATAGATCTTATTGAGGAGGAATGTTGTGCGCAAGAATGATAACTCTTCCCTATACAATTTTTGAGTTATTGCCCTTTGTTTTTTTTTCATGCTATTTTGTCCAGAGCTTATCTCAAAAAGTATTTGAGGTATCAACTTGAAACTTCATAGGTGGATGGATCTCATTGAGGAGGAGAGCAGTGCTTAAGAATGATTACTCTACCCTGCATTATTTTTGAGTTATTGCCCTTTGTTATTTTTCAAAATTAATTTTTGTCCAGAGCATAACTCAAAAAGCCTTTGAGATATCAAAATGAAACTTTATAGGTGCATAGATCTCACTCAGGAGGTGTGCACTGCACAAGAATGATAACTCTACCTTTTATAATTTTTGAGTTATTGCCCTTTGTTCTTTTTCATACTTAATTTTTCAATTCAATTTTTTTCTCAAAAAGTATTTGAGGTATCAACTTGAAACTTCATAGGTGGATAGATTTTACTGAGGAGGGATGCAGCACACAAGAATGATGACCTACCCTGCATTAATTTTCAGTAATTGCCCTTTGTTATTTTCAGCCATCAGTATTCACATAGGTTTCAAATCTGTAATCACTATAGCCATCAGTTTTCATTACCAAAAGACCTCTTAAAATGGAATTATTCCGCTCTACTACATATACATTCTTCCAATGAGCAAACACATTCGGCGGGGGATGGCCATGTTGACATGGCTCTTGTTATACTTTGAACTTTGTCCGGGACATAACTCTAAATGTATAAGCGGTATCAACATAAAACTTTGTAGGTAGAAAGATCTCATTGAGTAGGTGTGCAGTGCACAAAAACCGTAACTCTGCCTTGCCTAATTTTTGAAATATTTCAATTTGTATATTTTTACACTTTGAACTTTGTCCGGGACATAACTCTAAAACTATAAAGGGTATCAACATGAAAATTTGTAGGTAGATAGATATCATTGGATAGAACTGCAATGCTTAAAGAACCTTAACAAAGCCTTGTCTAATTTTAAAGTTATTGCCCATTGTTCATTTTTTACACTTTGAATTTTACCCGGGACATAACTCTGAAACTATAAGAGATGTCATCAGGAAACTTTCTAGATAGGTAGATCACATAGAATAGAAGTGCAGTGTAAAAAAAAACATAACTCCGCCATGCCTGATTTTGGAGTTTTTGCCTTTTGTACATTTTTTATTCTTTCCTGTGTCCAAAACCTTCTCGGGGAGCATCACCCGGTTCAACCGGTTCTTGTTTCTACTTTCTCCAGGTAACCAGCATCTAACATGCTCTAAAACCAGTACTTAAACGAACATGCTCTTAAACCAGTACTTAAACGTTATAAGATTCGTGTTTGTCCTTTATAAAAAAAATAAAAATGTATTGTTTCTGAGCCATAATGTGCCTTTAATAATTGATAATTTCCGGGAAAAAAACCCAAAAAGGTTCACCCTGGTAGACTAACATACATCTTGATACCTCAAAATCATGTTACTTGTTACTTCAGAGGTCAAACGACGAACATCATGGACAATTTGCTACAACGTATGTCAAACTATGCCGACAATCTAGAGGCACTCGCAGCTGAAAGAACAAAGGCGTATCTAGATGAAAAACAGAAAGTAGAGGAACTTTTACATCGACTCTTACCACCGTGTGTATAACCTTCCACCATTTTTTCATACGGCTATATATTACCAAATACAGAATGTTTAAATTTCATATTATATTTGTAAGGGCAAAGTTTCTCAAAACATACCTATAGATATCTATGGTAGGGAAAACTAAAGAGTAATATATATAAATTGGGCATGATTTTAATTTATAAAAGTCCCTATTATCATAGTGTCTTCGATTTAATGATAAGTAATTACATATTCTATGACAAGTATCCCAGCAAAATCAAAGTTGGATCAAATTGAATACATGCCACGACGTCGAAATCGTAAATACAACGTTGAAATATGTTGTATTTGCGACTTGGAATCAACAAGTTGGAATTACGTCGGTAGGATGTCAAATTTCAGTAGAATCTCACAGAGTAGTCTTGATTGAGTAATCTCCTATGTTCGAATTTACAAACCCTGTAAGTGGTATATTTCAATTTTATTTTTAATAGATCCGATTGATTAATTGATTACCATTAATTGCTGCTTCGTCTATGGATTGTTGTAGTAAAACTGAATATTTTCTTTTATTTCAGATCGGTTGCTAGGCAACTTCAATCTGGACAACCTGTATCACCAGAAACGTTTGATTGTGTCACAATTTATTTCTCTGATATTGTAGGATTCACTACAATTTGTAGCAAAAGCTCGCCAATTGAGGTATTCACACGTTTTCAGTTAATAAACTGCACATAAACAAAGTCAAAGCTTAACTATGTAAAGTTGTATCTTATGAAATATCTTTTTTTAAGTATATCAACAGCTAAATTATATTGTTGTCATAATTCAAACCAATTCAAACCGATTTCTAAAAACAATTGTAACATAACATTGTCTCTTTCTTCTAACACGCATTAACATTGTACGTTCACAGAAATTTTTTTTAGAAACAAAATACGAATTTGCTGTTCTAAGTAGAGTTTCAACTATTCGACAGTATTTCGTGCTTTCGCCAATCGCCTTTTTGGCAATTTCTTGCATATTTGTTGTTTGTTTTTTTTCAAATGAGAACAATATTTATTTCAGTAGAAATGTAGATTTATACACTTATTTAGCAGCGTGATAACTGTACTTTTATTGATGATATGAATAGAATAAATCACAGTGCCTCTACACTGATGTTTTCAAAAGAAAATTAAACCTTGATAACTTAAAATTAGAATTTTTACATAGATCTGTCAGCTCATTCAGTCTGGGCACTTTAATCAGAAAGTAATGGAAACGTTGCAATGCTTTACAAGTTTGGATCATTTTTTTCACAATTATAATAGTTATTCTGGAAAAACGGAGTAAACGAATGGAATAATTCTCCATACTTAAATTTAATGAAATAACCATCAAGTGTAAAGATATTGAAAACCGTTCTAGTGGCCATACATGTATAAGAGTAAAACTTCCAATCGTGATAATAATTATTAAGATGCTTTTACATTTACTGATGATAGATATTCTTGTTTTTTATGGATATATCACCTATTTTTTCCCAACATAACTTTAAAATTTATATGTTTATTTATTAAAGGTTGTAGATCTTCTGAATGACCTGTACACCGCTTTTGATAATGAAATAGACAGATTTAGAGTATATAAGGTAAGTTCAAACAATGAACCTTCTGAATGACCTCTACATCGCCTTTGGTACTGAAATAGACGAATTGGGAGCAAATAAGAAGTGTTCAATGAAATAACTTCAATGGTGGTGCCTTTGATATAAAATTAGATAAATTAAGAGTATAGAAGGACCATTTAAATAAAAAAGATAATTTTAGTGTACAAAGGGTAGATTCAGTTATTGTAATCTCAATCCAAAAGTCGAGGTTTAATGACGGTAGTTTACACGCTCTTGATTATGAAATATATAAATTTAGAGTATACTGAGTATGCTCAAATTTGGCAATCTCGAGCAAACAAGTCGACCCGGCATCATTTTGTTATTCTGTTATCATTTTAGTTTGGGGCATCAAGCAATTGAGCACGTAGTTCTGAATTAAAACCATATTCTGTATAACAAATGAATAAAATATTTAATGTTATCGATAAATTAATAGTTTTTTTAACATCATAAAATTCTAAATGAAATATTTTTCATAAAAGTGGCAAAATGTAAACAAAGTACTATTTTGACTTCCATGCAAAATACTATTTCAATATGACAGTGCTTGTTGCCAAACAGCAGCAGAAGTTGAAATTGTTCAAGTATTAATTGGCCTATGATTAACTTTTTGAAATCTATGTCAGGTACACCAAAAATAAAAAGCTTTTGAAAAAAAAAGAAAAAAAAAGAAGAATTTCTGAGGCATAGTGGGCATTTAAACATTTATAAGCGCGAACACTAACACCATTTTTGTTTTACTAGCCCAAATTACAAAAATATATCTATCTTGATCACAAATAGATACATTCAACAACAAAAAGATAGATAAATACATAATTTTTCATTGAACATTTTGGTCATTTTGCAGGTAGAGACTATCGGAGATGCTTACATGTGTGTTTCCGGTTTACCAGAAAGAATTGGAACGTATCACGTGACCGAGATATGCAACATGTCGTTAGTTATCTTAAACACCGTAAAACACTTTACAATCAGGCACATGCCAATGCAAAAACTAGAAGTTAGAATTGGGGTACATTCAGGTATTTAATATGATAATTTTCTAAATATTACCCAATAAGATTCCTTCTATCACCAATGCATGTAAAGAGTACATACTCAGTAGATATACAAATATTTTTGCGCGGTATTTTATAATAAAACTAGATTTGATTTTATATAATTACAACTGGATTCTAGTATCTAGTTGATTGTTCTGGTAACATATTTTGTATTTGAAAGAGACTTATACTAGCATCCATGTTATTATTTGTATAAACTGTAAATTATCCTAAAATCTGAAAATCCCTTTCATAAAGGAATTTTAGGAATGAATTTGCAGCTGACTATCTATGTTTTTTTACTATTTATTTGTTTAGGACCAGTCGTAGCAGGGGTGGTTGGTCTGACAATGCCGAGATATTGTTTGTTTGGGGACACTGTGAATACCGCATCTCGCATGGAATCTACGTCAGAAGGTAGCTATGTTTTCTAGAAAGCACTCCAGTCACCTCATTGATTTACACCATTCCAGAATAATGTACATTATAATGCATTTGCCAGAGTCATTTAATGTTGCATAAGTAGATGTTAACAAAAAAGTATACAAAATATAATCAAATACTACAATAACCATGCAATAACAATAACATCATTTTATTAGTCCCCTACCGGTTTACCGGAGGGGACTTTAGGTTTACCCTCCGTCCGTCTGTCCGTCCGTCTGTCCGTCCGCACTCACAGGAGAGTAATTATGTGGCTAGAGGGACAATAGGTAACTGTTCTTTCTCTTTGATGTCATTCATTCCGTAATGCTTTTATGTGGCTATTTTCTTTTGTGTGGCTAAAAAGAACAATAGAGAGAACAATAGAGTAGCCACATAATTACTGTCCTGTGAGAACTGTCCGTCTGTCTGTCAGTCCGTCAGTCCGTCCGTCCGTCCACAAAACTGGATCCCGCGATAACTTGAAAAGTACTGAAAATATTTTTATGAAACTTGGTATATGGATAGATGGTAGTATGGAGATTATGCACGTCCTTTTCTTTTCTTCCTATGTTGAAAATTCTGGTTGCTATGGCAAGAAATAGACTGAAAATATGGCAAATTTTACACATAAACTGGATCCAGTGATAACGCAAAAAGTACTGGAAATATTTTTATGAAATTTGACATATGGGTAGATGGCAGTCTTGAAATTATGCACGTCTTTTTCTTTTCTTCCTATGTTGCAAATTCAGGTTGCTATGGCAACACATAGACTGAAAATATGGCAAATTTTACACATAAACTGAATCCAGTGATAACTCAAAAAGTACTGGAAATATTTTTTATTAAACTTGACATATGGGTAAATAGCAGTCTTGAGATTATGCATGTCTTATCTGTTCTTCCTATTTTGAAAAAATATCAGTTGCCTTGGCAACAAATAGGCTTAAAGCATGGCAAATATAACAATATTTGTGATTAGTCAAAAAGAGCTGAAAATTTTTATGAAATTGCATATTTAATTCAAGAGTTATTTCCTCTTTAAGAATTTTGCTTTTAAAATGTTATATTTTGGTAACAGGGATGTTTCAAATATTAACTTTAGAGTGTCCTTCAGTCCGTCTGTCTGTCTGTTCATAAAAACTGTTTCCTGTGATCACTTTTAAAGAACTTTTCCAACAAATTTACTTAAAATAGAGAAAAATTGAAACATTAGTGAATGGCCAATGGCCCTTCAGAATGTTGATGGGGTTCTAACCAATAGGGGACTTATGGATTGCTTGCAATACTATGATAATTGCTTGTTTTATTTATTTTGTATAAGAAGGCCACCGGTCTATTATACATATGCAATACCAGTAATGTACACTGTTCTAGAGAATTGCACCAAAGTATTTTATAGAAGTAAAACTTTTACATAGTGAAAATAGCATAATTCATATACTATTGTATGAATAAATGTATAAATAAATGCATAAATAAATGTATAAATGCCTTAAATACATTGAAATCAAATTTCAAACTAATTGTTAAGTCATATGTTTTCCATTTAGACATAAAAGCAGAAAAAATCTTTACATTTAATAGCATTAACGTAAGAAGTGAAAACATCAGTTTGAAATACGAACAAAGCGTCACAATTAACAATATGTTTGAAATGTAAACAATTTTAATTTCTAAGTTTTAAAACATATTTCTTATTATACTTAATCAAACCACGGTATAAATACGAATACATCATTATATATTTCTCTTCCACTAGCTGAACCTTGTCTGCCTTTTTCTTTTAACGTTTGACAATAATTAATGCATTCAACAAGGTAATTATATTTCCAAAGTAAACTATTTTATTCAAATAATCATTGTCTTATTTCCAAAGTAAACTAATCTATTCAAATAATCATGTTAACTAATTTATTAAAAAAATCATTGGCTTTTTTCTGAAGTAAACTAATTAATTCAAATAATCATTTTCTTATCTCTCAATTGCAGCATCTAGAATACAACTATCCAGTGTCTCAAAAAGATTGTTAGAGGAATTCCCAACATACAACATAAAGGAACGAGGAGAAATCGAAATTAAGGTAAGGGAGATAATTGATGTAAAGAGAAAATATTACAGAAAGGGCCGAGAGCTTGTATTTTTAAATCAACTATTATTTGAATTGTTATAGTGTAATTAGTGTAATAAGAATGTGTTGCACATGCTGTCATGTCTTAACCCATTACCAGATATATACGCCTTTCTACGCCTTTTTCACCCCCCCCCCCTTTTAGTCGCCTCAAATGGTGAAAAAATGCCTTATTTAAGCCCCCAACACTTGTTTTTGTTTGAGAAATGTTGTTTAAAAAAGTGACCACTTTTTCGGCGCGGCCCCCCAGCCAAAAGATACATCAGGGGGTTGCCAGAAGGGGGATGTGCCCCTTTCTGTTTGGGGGGTTTGGCAGTCCCCCTCATCGCCAAGAAATTTTGGACTTTTGAGAGGCTAAAAATGACCCCAGATCGATCATAAGGTAACGTGTTATCAACGCTGAAAAGCATTTGACTCTATCTCAATCCATTGAGAAGTTGCAGCACTTTGAAATCAATTTTGATGGAAAAAATCAACACAAAATAGTGATTTTTGGCAATTTTGAGATGTCCCCTCGTTGCCATGGTGGCTAGTAATTTAAGCCTGAGCATGTTGTTACAAAGGCAATGGTCCAGTCAACATTTGCGCCAAGTTTGATTAGCATTGAAGCAGTTTTTATAGTTTTATAGCAATTTGAACTTGTAATGGGAGCCTTTTCAATGAAAACAGCCATTTTTCACAAAATGCTCATGGGGTAATGGGTTAATATTGAAAGAAATGAGTCAAAGACAGAAACGGCCGGGTTGCATTTGTATTACAAATATCATGATGCTGTGATGTTACGAAAAAAAAATTACCACTGACCATAAATGTCGAAAATTTAACTAAGTCAGTAAACAGGAAGTGGATGAGCAACAGACCTGAAATAATATCCCAAGGTATGGAACTACATGTCAATGCTGTATGCTAAATATCAAGAGGCTGTGATAGGTTGTTGTTGAGAAAACTGTTACGAAAATTTCCTACCATTGACCATTAATGTCGAAAATTTAACTAAGTCGATTAACAGGAAATGGATGAGCAACAGACCTGAAATCGAATCCCACATTATGGGACCTTGTGTTAATGATGTATGCAAAATATCAAATAGCTGTGATTAGTAGTATCTGAGAAAACTGTTAAGAAAATTTCCTACCATTGACCATTCATGTCAAAAATTTAACTAAGTCGATTAACAGAAAAAGGATGAGCAATAGACCTGAAATAGAATCCCACATTATGGGACCCTGTGTTAATGATGTATGCAAAATATCAAAAGGCTGTGATTAGTAGTATCTCAGAAAACTGTTAAGAAAATTTCCTACCATTGACCATTCATGTCAAAAATTTAACTAAGTCGATTAACAGGAAAAGGATGAGCAATAGACCTGAAATAGAATCCCACATTATGGGGCCCTGTGTTAATGATGTATGCAAAATATCAAAAGGCTGTGATTAGTAGTATCTCAGAAAACTGTTAAGAAAGTTTCCTACCATTGACCATTCATGTCAAAAATTTAACTAAGTCGATAAACAGGAGGTGGATGAGTGACAGACCTGAAATCGAATCCCACAGTATGGGACCACGTGTCAATGCTGTATGCCAAATATCAAGAGGCTGTGATAAGTAGTTGCTGAGAAAACTGTTAAGAAAATTTCCTACCATTGACCATTCATGTCAAAAATGTAACTAAGTCGATTAACAGAAAAAGGATGAGCAATAGACCTGAAATAGAATCCCACATTATGGGACCCTGTGTTAATGATGTATGCAAAATATCAAAAGGCTGTGATTAGTATGTATCTGAGAAAACCGTTAAGAAAATTTCCTACCATTGACCATTCATGTCAAAAATTTAACTAAGTCGATTAACAGGAAAAGGATGAGCAATAGACCTGAAATAGAATCCCACATTATGGGACCCTGTGTTAATGATGTATGCAAAATATCAAAAGGCTGTGATTAGTAGTATCTCAGAAAACTGTTAAGAAAGTTTCCTACCATTGACCATTCATGTCAAAAATTTAACTAAGTCGATAAACAGTAGGTGGATGAGTGACAGACCTGAAATCGAATCCCACAGTATGGGACCACGTGTCAATGCTGTATGCCAAATATCAAGAGGCTGTGATAAGTAGTTGCTGAGAAAACTGTTACGAAAATTTCCTACTATAGACCATTAATGTCGAAAATTTAACTTATTCGATTAACAGGAAGTGAATAAGCTACAGACCTGAAATCGAATCCCACGGTATGGGACCCTGTGTCAATGCTGTATGCTAAATATCAAGAGGCTGTGATTAGTAGTTACTGAGAAAACTGTTACGAAAATTTCCGACCATTCACCATTAATGTCGAAAATTTAACTCAGTCGATATACAGGAAGTGGATGAGTGATAGACCTGAAATCGAATCCCACAGTATGGGGCCACCTGTCAATGCTGTATGCCAAATATCAAGAGGCTGTGATGAGTAGTTGCTAAGAAAACTGTTACGAAAATTTCCTATCATTGGCCATTAATGTCGAAAATTTAACTCAGTCGATTAACAGGAAGTGGGTGAGTGACTGATCTGAAATCGAATTCCACAGTATGGGACCACGTGTCAATGCTGTATGCCAAATATCAAGAGGCTGTGATAAGTAGTTTCTGAGAAAACTGTTACGAAAGTTTTTCCGCGCCCGCCCGCCGCCCGCCCGCCCACCGCCAATCATTCACCATACTATAACCCGGGTTTGCACAACTGCAACCGGCCAACAAGAATAACATAAAAATGATATAATGAAGTGTATTACATGTGATCCCTTTAAAGAAATAATGATAATCTGAGAAACAAGTTGTGAAATGTATGACTTATAAAGCTTTGGCGTAAAATCAGATTTTGATTGACAGACATACATCATATTACAAACATTGATTCTATAGAATAAGATAATCTTTTATAAAGGTAAAGAGAGAGAAAATATTCCTCAAAACGTGTATGTATGCTGTTTCCATTCATTGGCTCAAGCAATGTTACTTTTAAGGCGTAGAACCAACCTTTCTTTGTACTGTAAGCACTTTACTTCGTCACATTTAAATTAAGAAACATTGAATTAAAGGGAAAATAAAATTTTGAATGGAGTAGATTACTTTCTTGTTTACTATAGTTTAAAACATTTGGGTCACGTGGGTAAATGTTGCCAACGTAATATTTAAAAAAAATGGCTTGATAAACATGTTTTTTGTTTTTTTTTTATTTCAGGGTAAAGGTCAAATGACGACATATTGGTTAGAGGGTTGCGACAGGAAAGAGAGCGTTATTGCTCCTGGAGGAGTCATGTATTAAACAATTACATATCCGGATAAACCATGGCCACAAACGTGCTATATCAAACCATATTAACTTATCTCAAAAGTTTAATAATAAAATGATGTATATTCTTTACGGAAGATTTTTCTTTTAATGGGCATTGTTTTGTTGTTTGGAGTTATAATATTCAAGTAGACTTTACAAAATAGTGATTAAAACACAAACAAGTGTAAATACTCTACAACTCCAAAAATGACTAGACATGTTACTGAGCATGCGCAATATGCATGTATTTATCATCTTCGACAAATGAGAGTGTATCATTTTCGTTCTTGACTATCTATTTGTTGATTTTTGATTATTTGTTACAAGAATTTGGGTGGCCCTTTTTTAGTTTACTCGCATTTCAATTGCTTCTTTTGTTTAAACGAATCGCTTATTAATTTATCTTTGTCAGTCCTTTAGAATACTACCACCACTTAATTTATTTTTTAAATATTATTCTAATTTGTTGATTTTGACGGTGCAAATTTAGTATTCTGAATTTGTTTTCTTTACGAGTTTGTATAACAAAGTAGGAAAGCTCTTGCCATTGGTGACGAGTTTGATGTCTTATGTTATAAAGGTAATTTTGGCATCAAACTGGACACATACTAGGAAAATTACAGAACAATGTATACCCAAAAGAGAGTACCAAAAAGTAACTGTCAGTTTCACTGTTTATATGGAAAAATAAAACTTATAAGCAGCGTTTTCTGGCCGTTTATTTATCTTTTTTTCATTTTTACAATTTGAATAGCAGGATATCATGCTAGAACATAAAATACAAAGAATAAAACTAAGAATCAAATACTTTTTCCCCATTGTTGTTATAAATTAAGACAAAAAATAAAAAAACAACGTTAAGTTAACCCAGCTAGGTTACGGAACGTAGGTGTCTACTCAAGTGCCCGTTCCAAAAACAATTAAAATTGAACACTTGCCTATCTATGTATGTTTAATATAGTCACAATAAAGTCCGACAAAATGCAATATAGATTATTTAAATAGTTTATGTGAATTGGTTTTCATTTTAAAGGACCATTATGCCCCAGATATGCTTTTATTTTTATTTCACGAAAGCTTGTTTTTTATCTTAGGGTTCTGTTATAGTTTCCAAACATTTATTTATAGGCCAATTACTTGAACCATCTTTTGGTTCTATTGCTTTTTGGAAATTCGTACAGTTACAGTAATTTAGTATTTTGTATGGAAGTTATATTAACTGTGTTTACATTTTGCTACTTTTATGACAAATGCTTTTTCATTCAGTACTGTTTTTTTACAATAGGGGTGAGCATCTAACTTACTCTAACAACACTATTTTAACGTTGAAAAACTCTTATTTGCCTGTTCTAAAGATGGAAAAAAATATTATTTTCTGAGGCATAATGTGCCTTTCATTAGTAAGATACATTATACGTTTAACAATAAATCTCAACATATCTTGTGCAATGTACTGGTAATACTGTGATATTGTTTGCTATTTTTGTAATGTGTAATTTGTTATATATTATTGTTAATGAAAAATGAAATCATTACGTAACATAACGACCAAACAGGGTAAGTATTCGTCTGTTTTTATTTAAAAAAAGCTCACTAACGGGCCGGTATACTGATTTTTCTTTTATCATATACGGTTTAAAGATATACTATGCTCAATATTAATTTTGGTTTTGATAATTACTACACAGTCTCTTTGTAAAATAAAATAAACATGTTTTGACTTCATAGAAAGTAGATATATTATGTTTAAAATTAAACACACTTTACGTGGTCACCATATGAATACCTAATGTCATTAAGAAAACTTGCTTTTTTTAAAGAAAAGATCAAAGTTACTTGACCCTTAAAAGGAAACGCGGCTTCCCGTACAGTTTATTCATTCTTTTATTCAATTTAGACATAATCAATTAGAATTTCATGGATTTCAATAAATTTATGTGATTAAAATATTTTACTCAATGATTAGCATAAAAATATGATTTCAGTGAAAAGAGAACGAAAAACATATTTTACTTTAAATAAATAAAAATGATCAAGAAATGTAACTGGCAGAATAATCGCCTTTTTTAACTTTATACTTAATCGACGATGCAAGGGGCAAGTATACTTTACGGAGGCATTGGAATCGTTATAATGAAGTGCTGCTATTATATCCTGTTTATTTAAAGAATAAAATTAAAGAATTTAGAATGGTCAGAACTAAGACATAACAATGCTCAAATTCTTTAACTTCTTTTTTACACTGACCTCTAGTTATATATTTTTCCCTTTAAAGATGCAAAACCTTTATTTTTCACATGTTTTTTATGTTTTATTTATATATATCTTTTTTGTTTATATTGTACTTGTTGACCTTGAAAAAAAACCCATTTGATTGATTTTCGTTGCTTTTAAGTGACGTTTGCTACGTGTTTATTTCATTTCAATGTTCACTTGATAATATTTTTACTTTTTTAATACATTTTGATAATTTTCATGAAAGTAAGCATGAATCTGGAGACATGCTTTATATTTTTTACTCAAAATTTGCATACTATTTCTCATTGCAAAGCATTAAAATATTCTTGATATTTTTGAAAAGCATTTTAAGAATCAGTCACATTTTGAAGTAGTGACTCATATTTCATTTTATTTTGGTATAGGTCATACACCAATATAAGTATAAATGTTTTGTTATCTTCCTTTTTTACAGTCACATGTTTTTTGGGGGGTATTTGTTTTTCATAGAGTATTTTTAAATCAAAATGGCGGACATTATTTATAAAAATTCGTTTCTTTTTCATGGTTTGGTGCTCATTTACATTTGCTTTAACGTTATTTGATCGTTATACAGACTGTACTTGATTTTGTTTGTACATTTATTGTTATTTATTTTGTATAGAATAAATTTCTTAAATTGGTTTGCCTTTTTTCTTTTTTTCCATTCCGTCTTTCCTATTTTAAACATTTAAAAACTTTTCATCTTAAATGAATTGAAACTAAAATGAGATTTTGCCAACTTATTTACCGTCCTTATCAGACAAAACACGGGTACATGGGTATTGAAATAACTTAAAGAATCAATGGAAAATTTCAGTCTATAAATTTTTAAAGTAATAAATGAAAGTTCCGACTGCTGTATTCGAGGTCATTTATTCCATTTGACTACTATGTTGTATTTATGTTTGGCTTATTTTACACTCATCATCCACCGTACTGAACCATATTGGCGAGCCGGAACTCCTTTTTCTTTTGTCGCTGAACAAAGAGTTTTTATCCTTCACTGAAATATTTCTGCTCACGATTAAATGTATTATCCGTGTATCTGTTAAATAGAAAATAAGGTTTGTAGACTTAAAAATAGATTGAAAAAACTTGAATTCATAACGGAGTAAATTATTCTGTCGCTTATGCTTTGCTGTTTTCGGTACCCTCAGTGCTTTGATCTAATGTCTTGAAGTAATTACTCCTCCAATTATTTCCAAATAAGAACAGCAACTTCAGTTTTATTGAAAGAGAAATACTACAAGAGTTATCTTAATTTATCTGACTAATAGCTATATTGATTACAAGTAGTAATTTCTATTGGAGCATATCCAAAACTGTTTTAGTAACAACCTATATGTATATACTAACATCAAAGTAAATGATGCTTTGATACAAAAACGTGACAAGTTTATGACTTTAACCTCTTTTGCTAAATGACAAGTCGATCATTGAGTTATTTTTAAATTACGAGAACAAACAATTTTTTTCATCATTTATTTTTAGAAAAAAAAGAGTTTTTCAACAACAACATTTATTTCAAGTAATATTTGTTACCAGTCGGGCAGGTAAACATTTAGTAGAGAAGTAAAATAACAAGTTTTGAAAGATTTGCAGCTATAAATTGGTATATTTGTCTGTTTGTTGACTATACTTTAGACTAAGAATTATATCTCGGCTATAACGAATTGATATAATTTAAAATTTAAATATTTTAGTTTACCGATTCTTTGCCGTATGTACATGTACTTCATATTTACTCTATATATATTCAATTTGTGAAAAAAATGACTTCATTATTTGTACTGGTGGCATATAGGTCCAATTGGACGGGTGATTTTTCTTGTCATTGTGTGTCATTTTATTGTTATACGTATACTAGTACTCATTTACATGTCATAATTATAAATAATATCTTATGTTATACCAAAGTGCCATAAGAATGGTCTATGTTAATTTCAGTTAAAGCATTTTTAACTTTACGCATGCAAGAACCTTTAATATGTTCTGAGGGAAATTATCATTCCATTTTTAACATAATTCATGTTCGTAGAATAAGATATTTTCGATATATAATAATATATGAAATCAACGTGAAATCCCATTAAAAACTGATATGGCATTTTGCACAATTCTAAAAAAAACGCATTATTTTACAATGTGGAAATAAGCAGATCGCACACCAATTAATACCAAGAATGAATCATGTGTAAAACAAGACATGACATTTTGAGCAGTGAAAAATGGTTTATTTATTTATTTAACTATTAAATACTGTAAGTATAGTCAAATAGATTTTAGATTTTATTCAAGTAAATTCCAGAAGGTCATAGACCCATGAGGACAATATATTTACAAGTAATCGACATATTAACATAAATGAATACATGCATAAAGAAATCAGCAGTTAAGTACATGATAAATATTTAACATTATTATCTGCTTCAATATATCCGAAGTAAATGTTAGCATACAAATATTTTATTTCTATATAAAGCAATGCCAACATTAATTATAAATTTTTTCTTAATACAATAACATGTGATAATTTTATATAATTCACTAGCACAAATAGAATAGTAGCAAAATGTGTGATCGTCGTATCTAAATATAATTTCGGTAACTGCTACCAGATGAGCTTTGTCAAAATATAATATTAAGGAAGCCTCTATAAAATCAATCCGTAGATCATAGTTACCTCTATCTTGACGTTCGAAAGTATCAAGATAAAGTGTGAAAGATCCATAGAAAACATATTACAAAGTATACTCAATATCAAAAAATTTTAAAATGATTTTTATGTGAAGGAAAATGAAGTCTTTGTTACAAAAACGAAACACAAGACTTCTGATAGCAAATATGATGATCGTTAAAATACAAAAACGGTTTGATAGTTAATTAATAAACCTTTGTATGTGAGATTCAAATAATAACAATGATTAATGCATGATACAATTCATGTCTGAATATTAAAAAGTATGCTTGTTCTTATTTCGAAAGCTTTATTAACAAAAATACTCAGATTTCTTATTATTTTCAAGTTCTTCAGAATTAAATAGTTCTGTTTTTTTTAACATATTTGGACGTCTCCAATAATAACAAGATATATACTTCTTTCGTATGAGATTATACATTTCACATTCTAAAACAAAATGATATTCATCTTCTATGACATTGCATTATAACATATTCTTTCATTCAAAGGAGTGCATGTAGGTTTCGTCCATCTTCCCATTTCTATATTCAATCTATGAGACGATACCCTTAATTTTGGAAATACATATGCGATACTTTCTAATGTTAATTAAGCTTAAGTATGGCTGTAGTTGAAAAATTTGAAATGCACCTATAAAAAATAGCTCTACTAGAATTTTGAAAGTCTACTATCCAATTCTGTAAAAATTGATCTTTAATTCTTTGCTGCACTAGATTAAAAAATACGTTTGTGTTTTTCCAACAAGTTTGAAAAAGCCATGCATCATAAAAACCAAGATTACTAAGTAAATTTCTTACAAGAGAACACCAGTTTTTGTGATTAGGATTATTGTCTATATCTTCTTTTAAAACATAAGGTACACTTTTTCTAACATATTTATTATCATTTAGATTCACAATTTTTAAGCAGAATTTAATTATGTTGAAATATCTTATATTTTTGAAAAGAAAGCCTACCCAGTTCACCATAAATGAAATCGTTTTGAGTCGTTTTTTAACACCTAACATATTTTTACAGAACTGCATGTGCAACCTTTCAATAGATTTCCCAGGTATAAAACCCCAAAACCTCGGAACTATAATTAAGAATAGGAGAAACAAGTTTGTCAAAAAAGTTCTAACCTATGTTTAACAGATATATCTGTAAATTTAAAATAAATACTTATTCATTCTAAAATATTGCCTTTGTGGCCTGTCCAGCAAGCGTACTTTGAAGCTTCAGAGAAAGAACCACCGGTTTGTAAAAACAATACCCAAGTAAGTGAACTTACTAACAATTTTAACAGGCATTACCATTATAACTAAACGAAATATTACTTTGTAAACGGCCACCTTTGCGGAAAATCATGACTTTAACGTTTTTTCTGAATTAACAACAAGTTTCCACTTTGCAACAATATTCGTATAATAATGTATCTAAACTATTTTGTAATTCAATACAACTATTTGCAAATATAACAATATCATCTGCATATAAGATTTAAAAACATTTAAACATGTAACGTCGATGCCTTCAAAACCTTTATCAATAAATATATCTTCTAAATCAATTAAGAAAACATTGCGAAGAGAAAGGGAGACAAACACTCTTTCCTTGTCGTAACACCTAACATACATTGAAATTGCTCACTTATTTGGTTATAATACTTAACTCTAGATTTAACAGCTGAATACATAGATATAATGATGTTTAACATGTTTCCACGAATACCTAACTTAATCATTTTCAACCATAAATTATCTCTGACAACATAATCAAAGGCTTTACTAAAATCAATAAATGCACAAAAAAGTTGTTTCCCGTTATTTAACATATGACTAATAAGACCATATGCATGTATTAAGATATTAAGTACATGTTACAGTTTAATTTAAGAAGTCCCTTTTTTATCATACATTTCTGTAAATATGTTGCTTTAATGTTAATTTTATGTATTTTACTAAAGTATTATATATTTAACATCATGATATCAAACAAGTTAATGGTTCGTTGCCCGTGTCATATATATAATATAAGCAATATTACATACATCACTTGTTTTAATATACATTCCACCACTGAAGAAATCAGTAAATACAATTTTATTAATGGTTGACAGAATTTTGATAATATATATCTCACGTTTTGTTTTTTATTTAAATATAAATTTAGGCGCTTTATAAGGAAAAGGTCTGAATTTCAAAATGTTGACAACATTTCTTGTAAACTATGTTTCGATTTTACTCGTCGTCTTGCCATGCACAATTTTGGGACATATTCGACTGACATATCCCGAAGCAAGAAAATATTCTTTGGATTTTCTGAACATGGTTCAAGCCCCGGCTCCTTGTGGGATGCCAAAAGGTAATCTGTTTCATGTATATAAAATGTTCTTTTTTAAATTAGACAAGTTTATAACTGCATAATTTTATCCCAGTATGTAAAGAAGGAAAAGCGCTTCACTGCACCTTGACGGTTTGCTGACTTTGATTTTTACTTAAATGATGCCCAAAAACGTATACAACTGCAAAAAATATTATACACGGGAAATAGACATTTCCTAAAATATTAATTGATATGTGGTTTTTTTTTTCAATTAAAAAAAAACTAATTGTATATTTCACTTAAATTTTCATGAGGAAAACTAGTTGCATCTATTTATTTATCTATATGCCATCCGTTTGAAAATGTAGTTTATTTCGTTAATATCATTATTGAAAAAATATGTTGCACAATAAATCAATTTTAGAATACCTTGCTAACTAAATCCGAATATCGACAACATTTGTACATCATTTTTATTTTTCAGTTACTAAATTGTAACAAATAGCAGACAATAAATAAAACATTTTAATTCTAAATCATTTCTTCAGTTACAAAGGTAGAACCCCCGGACTTACTGCTTTAAATCTTAATTAGTAGGTTTGACTTGTTATATTGCACTTGCTAGATATCTTAATTATCTAAATTATTAAGACTTAATACGAATTCACTGTGAATAGTCAAAACGGACAGTGACTGTCCAAAGTGTCCGACATCGTTTGTTCCAAAAACGGACAAAGACTAATCATCATCATCATCATCATCATCGCAATCTTCGTAGATCAATTTCAGCTTATCATAATTACCATCATCATCATCATCATCATCATCATCATATAGAACTTTTCACCGTTTTTTTCAGTTGCTCATGTTACAAAATTCGATCTATTACATACATCTTTATGCAAAGAATAATCACGTGTGCTGAAACCTTATTCATATCTATTACAAAAATGTGTAATTTTAAATCTTGGTTATACCCGGACATTTCTATTATTTCAAATCTATACCTTACACATAATGTTATAAAAATACGAACATTTTGAAATATGACAGATAAACACGGTATCACAGTCGGATGTGGTTTACAAACATAAAAGTACATCCTTAATAATCTTAGTGTAAAAAGTATATTTATTCTCTACAATAATGTTATTCAACATTGTATTAGTCTTTTTAGAATAACTTATAAATATGTGATTATCATATATCTATATCGTTTCCCAGTAAGTTTTAATTAATTAATTAATTAATTAATTGACTACGGAGAGTCACAAATACATACAAATGTACCAAAATACGGTTAAGAACCCAAATAATTACAATGACAGAGAAATATCAAAAGTTTCCAGTACCTTCAAAACACGATGTCTGAGTTATTAAAAGATTTGACCGGGGCCATCATTCGGATTTGTCCCCTGTCCCCTTATGAGACTGCGTGGATGTGCAGACTGGCACGGCTCTATACTGATGCCGAATGCTAATCATGTATTCTAGGCTTAATGAGGGTCCATCCGCCCTTTTCAGGCACTGAGAGTACGGACCCCGAGAATGCTAACCCGTTCAGCTTTTAACAATTTAAGGGTTAAGTCCGATCATCAGTGCGGTGCGTGTGTCTTTACTCTATGTTTGCCTCTTTAACTTGTGAAAGATTTCAGATGAAGCTACAAAATTATAGCTAAAATTCGAGTCGTTAGAATCTGAAACAAGACAGTTTACAGACTAATAATGGTAAATCATCATAATGATCAGTTATTATATTTACGTCAAGTTCTTAATCTAAGGTCAGCGTTTTATAATGAGACTTATCATTTTTGTATATGCTGAAATGTAAAAGATAAATCACTTTGGTATCGTATTGTTTAAAAATAAGAATCAGCAAGTCAACCTTCTATAATATTCGATACTTTTTATAGTTTTACTTTTATTTTTTTATTTTTTAGATGTGTTCAAAATTATTGTATTACAAAATGAATCAACGAGACTTTCAAATGTCGTGTCATTTGTTAATTATTATCATGGGTCTCTTTTCTTCAATTTCACAAAATAGTATAACACAATATAAATAGGTCAATCTAAGTTTCACAAACAGATCTATACAATAAATCGATATCTTTAAATCAACATTTAATGTTAACAATCATTTAATGAGAGTACGTTTTTTTTTCTTTTTGAATGAAATAGTAGAATTCTATGGTTATAGTTATATTTGTAAAGGGACAAAACAAATATATATCTATTGTCGCATTATTTCGAGTGCAAATCGGGTAAAAATATTATTTCAAAAAAGGACACTATTTTAGTCCATGACTTTGCGAAATATTTCTTTATGTTTTAATGATGAAATGTGAGTCGAAGTTATTTAAGATAATTACGGTCATTTAATCTTGGCGTCTATAAATGAAATAAAACACAATCATGCTTTACGGTGATTGTTGGTAAGCGATACCATCATAAAAGAAAATTGATACTGAAGTTTTCACACCCCTATTGAGAATCCAATAATTCTTTTCATTTAATACAATGTATACATGTGTTTGAAATGATTTCTAAAATATTGTATCACTTATCCGTAGCTTTTTGAATTTTGCGTGAAATATTTCAGCATCGAATAAGATCATTCCAGTACAACTATAAGATTATTGGGCAATATACCATTTAGAAAAAACGACCTTATTTTACTGAGTATTCAGCATTTTACTTAAATTTAACAAGAAACATAAAATAATTAATGGCATTCCATGACAGTTTTTATATTTGTAACCAGGGATAAATATGGAAAACACAGAAAACAAAAGTAAACTTTTTTTTCAGAAATATGTGGAAATGCTCTTCACAAGGCAAAGAAGCAGAAAACCCAAACACGAGATCTTTGTATTCTCCAACCATCCCCATATCCCATGTATATCTGTAATAAAAAAGTTTTGAGTTTTGATAAAAAGCAAAACTTTAAACCTCTTAGCCGAATAACTAAAAATAATGCAGGAATCTCGTAATCATCATAATGGAAAACATTTGTATTAAAAGAATGTTTATTGTTTTCAGGACTCGGACCTATAACTGATTTAAAAACTGGGGAGACGATAACTGTGACATGGCATCAACCCTTTGTGCATGTGGTAAGATCAAGATTTTATTAGTTTACATATTCATTCACCTATTTGGTTCAGGACTTGTTCACATGTATGGATTATTAATTTTGAAATTATGATACGATAGATGATAGAAATAAAAACAATATAAACGAATCTTTTGTGAATAAACATAAATACACGGTTAACACGGCATACTATATTGTAGTAGAGCAGCGTGGAAAAATTGAGAGTTCGCAAGACCGAATGTCCAGCGAGGTATCATATTTTCCACGCTGCGAGTAGCAAAATAGATGACCATCTTGGTCAAAATTGCTCGGACATTGATTCAAATGGCTTTTTGTCTCCCACCACTGATTCGGAATAAATGCAGATTACCGAGAAATTGATATTTTCTAATCCGGTTTTATGGACCAAATGTTTTGAAATTGACACAATACCAGGACAAACAAAAACACAAACAAGCAATAAAACACGTTCTAAGTAAATCTGGAAATTACCACAATTACGGTTTTGAATTTAAATTTCAAAATGTTTATATTAAGCAGCAAGTGGAGTTACAGTTCGGTCATACTGTATAAAAGTGTAGGTTGACTAAAAAAAATATTATCATGAAAGGCACATTATGTCTCAGAAAAAATACATTTTGACTTCATTAGAAAAGACAACATTGTATAAACAGTGATGTTAGATCATTAAAGATACGTGCTGGAGAAAGCAGCGCTAAATGTAAACTTCTTTGTCATAAAAGTTTCAAAAATGTTAACAAAGTAGTATTTTGACTTCTATACAAAATACAAGATCATTATTTCTGTATTGCTAAATAGCAACAACAAGAACAAGATGTTCACGTAATTTGCTAAAACGTAACTTTTAGGAACTATAAATGTACACCAAAATATAAAGCTTTTTAGGAATAAGAAATAAAAGCATTTCTTGGACAATTTGTGCCATTATTCCGACTAAATATATCATTGTTTATATCGTTTCAGGGTGGATTCAGTTTAAGTCTTCTAGATGAAAATGAAAAGACAATTCATAACTTTACAGACGGTTTTGTAATGGAAAATGATCCTACGTATGTAATGTATCAATTAAAACCGCCAACACGGTTTAATTGCCCTTATAATAAAAAAAGGGGGGAGTGAAAATTTTGATTTCTCGAACGCATAATTATTCATTATCTAGCTGAAATTCACAATAATTTAATATCTACCATTTATTCGACCGATTTGGTCTTGATTTTTTTTACAAATATGGAATTTGCAACTTTTGGTCATGGGATACATATCAAATCAACATTTAAATAAAGAGAAGAAATTTTCAAAAAAAAATGAGTTTTACACTATTAATTTTATTGTTAATTTCTCTTTCATATAAATACTTATATAAAATGATAGGACCACAAGTATTTCGATTATTCCACACAACTCGAAAGTCTTGTTGAAACTTTTAAAGAGAATATGTTTTTATTTTTTATTCGCTTATATGTGATTCTATACCAAAGACGTTACATGCATTATATTTTGAAAATGAAATAATATTTCAGAGCATTATGGTACAATATAACACTACCTGACACACCGTGCTATAACTGTAGTATACAAGTTCAGAGACAGGGCAAGGAGTTCCCGGGAACTGTTCCATGTAACAACAATAAAATGCAGTTTTATACATGTGCTGATGTGAATATCAAAAGCAGTATGTGTAAAGTTTTAAAATAAATAAGTTATTCTATATAAAAGGTTTAAGATTCTTTAATATAATTTTTCAAACACACGTGATATTTTAAGATTTTAAATTCGTAAAAAGTACCTAATCGAATAGTTTGGCTTAGTTCTACGTCGCGTGCCTTGCAGCAATGAACTTAAAATGGGTATCAGTCTTAATATTGACAATTTAGTTACTTTATCAATTTCGAGTGCGTTGTTGTAGAATAATACATGTCTGAAGTAAAGGCTAAATGCGCAGACATGTGATTTTAAGAGTTCGCCACCACAAATCTTGCCTTGCTGATCAGATGAGTGCTTAAGACATAGCCTTGTTAAGGTGTGTATGTAAATATGAATGAATCTACATGATTAAATATATATTTTATTTACTTATTTATTTATTTATTTATTTATTTATTTATTTATTTATTTATTTATTTATTTATTTATTCGTTACAGATGTCGATTATGACCGTTGCTCATCTCACGGTACTTTTATTGCCGGATCTTGCCAGTGTGACAGGTTATACACTGGTCATATTTGTCAATATAAAGGTTTGATTTATAATTTTGTATGTACTATAAATCACCTTTAAATGTTTTCTATTTTTATAAGGTTAATATTGCTTTATTTATTTTCTGAAAAATGCCATATATTAGCTATTTTAGTATTGATGTCGGTTTTAACTTCAAAGAGATGAGTAAAAACTTCGGGTCAGTTTTCAAACGGTCCAGAGTAAAATATAATAGTCGTAAAAAGTAATAAAAATACTATAAAAAATTATGAAGTCTTTTCTGATCACCATTTAAGTACAAAGATTTCCTTTGTAAAAGGTCATCACCATTTTAATAATTTTGACATTGACATTAATTTTAGATGAGTGCATTGATGACGCAGACTGTAAAAATGGCGGGAAATGTGAGATTGGCGTCTCGACAACCTACCCGAAAAATCATTGTTACTGTGCTTCCGGTTATTTCGGGAGAACGTGTGAAAAACGTAAAATATCCGTTCTGTAGCTATTCTATATTGTTCACCTTCTTTTAGATATTCCAAAGTGTAGATCTACTGTACTTTTAATAAAATATTAGATCTTACCAAGAAGTATTAAATAACTTCTCGGATAGCTTTTGTTCCCTACCTTTAAAGTTTGCAACGTAGTGTTAGACTATCCTTCATTTATCAGTTGCTCATCATCATCGACTTTTTTCAGAATCATCAGTGACGTCACTTTCCAATCTCGACATGGATGACTACACAATGACGTCAGTAGCGAACTCTGAGTTTAAGATTTACCACAGAATACTTTTAGTAAGATTTTCTTGAAAAAACAAATTCATGCTATTTTTGCGATATATCACGACCTTGCACATATTTATTTTGACGTGACGTCATTTCCGTTATACAATAGGCCTACAATAATAGTCTTAAAGACGTGCTAAATTGTACTGTAGTATTAAACTTAACGTGCGTCAATGAAAAATGATTTTACTGTTAATAGTTCTTATTTTGGATATATATGTGAAAAATACATTATTATGTTTCGTGTAGCGTTTTGAGCGGGTTGAAGGACCGCTTAACCTACACACGCGCAATGTCTTCTACCTATTAACCAGATGACAGAATTAATCAGTTTTCTTTTGATGACTAAAAACAATTATACTCCAATTTAACTCTGAACGCCTGAAATTTATCATAACTTTGTATCTTGATGCCTAACTAAATACATTGTTTTTGTAACAAACAAGAACTTCAATGAGTTAGAAGTCATGGCTAGAGTGAAGACAGTGTCCTGGGTAGGCGTCGGCTGGAAACCAACGAGTAAGATTTATGTTATTATGTATATAATATAATTGCATATGTTACTATAATTAGTAATAAAAATGCGTTTCTTTTTTCTGAATATGACATGCGAAAATCCCGTATTTGAGCAAGTGTGCCAATAAGCCATATTGGCACACTTGCCAAGTCTGCCAAAATCCCATATTGAGGTTATGTCCGGTCATCAAGCAACTATTGTCCAGTAACGTCAGGACGTCCGCGCATATACACGTTACGTAATTGACAACCGCATCGCAAAAAAATGGCCGTCGAGAATCGCTTGATGGATTAAGATAGTATAATCGAAGAACAAGGACAGCCAGCTGACACTTATGCTTTTGTGGAAACATTATGCAATAAACAGGTCATGAGGCAGCATATTGGCACACTTGGTTCAAATTTGCGCTCGGACAAATAAGTCACCAAGTGTGCCAATATGGATTAAAGGCACACTCGCCCCATGTAATAACCTCTACCTAATAATATAATATGTTAAACAAACTGGAAAGATATATTTTTCGTGCTTGAGTCCGTATTTACATTGCATTATTTGCAACATAAACAGTTCCAAGGGAGCATTTAGCATGACAGGGTGTATGGCCTTATATGACAATGTTGAAACGCTTGGCATAAGTTTACATATTGCTAAACAGTTCAGTTCGATAAAATGTGTTACTTTTTTAATTTTTAAAGCGACTTAGGTCATGCATTTTTTTAAAACTGAGATTTACAATTATTAATAAACATTTGTTTTCTTTGTGGGTATGTGTTACTTATGTATTTTTAGTCTGAATATGTTTTTTTACCATATTTGTTCATTTTGAGCAGAATGTTCTCTATTTCTGATATCACTACGTTTGCCTGTTTTTTTTATTATTATTTAGATTTACTAAGTGGGTGTAAGAATATGCTCCCGTTGCTTCTTCCATTCCCGGATAAGCCAGAAGGTTCATGTAACGAACAATTCCCGGGCAACAGTTCTACAAGCGGTGGTGAGAAAATCAAGAGCATTTGAATTTATGAAATTTTGTGATTATAATGATTAAAGAATGACATAGTTTTGTACACTACGGTCTTATCAAGATGTTTTTTTTTCTCTTTTTATGTTTTCATTTATTAACACTTCTTAAAATTGTTTTATCTCATGATATGTTGAAAGTTGCCTACAAGACCACTTAAATTAGCCATGCATATAGATATAGTACCAATAAAGAATATCGTTGAACAGGTAATAGTCCGTTACTGTTTTTATATACAAAGTCAGTAAGCAAACATACAGTATTTGTATTGTTATTTTAAGTGCCGGTCACTGGCATGGACTGTATGGATCTTGTGGTTGGTACGGCTAGGGGAAGTTATTCACGCATTGCCGATTACTACACTCGCGATCGATCCGCGCCAAGGTTCGATTCTTTCTATGGCGGTGAAGACAGTCTAACAGCAGCTATCGGAGACGAAGTGGATGGTTACACTCGAATTCTTTTCCGGCGCAAACTTCAAGGTAGAGTAAAGATTTAGTTCATTGGGCTTTGATAACTTTTCGTTAAAAAAGGAAAAAAATATTTGTTAACACTTTGACTTCACGTTAGCAGATAAATATAGTTCAAGATTATTACGAATAGTTTATTTCAACAGCGTCAGACGTTGCTGACTATGATATAACTAATTCCACTATGCACGTGAGTTGGGCACGTGGTCAGAAGGAGACTGCACGTGTGGACTATCCGGGTACTTCGCCATCATTACCTTATTACTACAACAAAGATGACCTGAAGAAACATGACAGAGATGGCGCCACCTTCATGAACAGGGGGTTCTTCAGGATTAATTTTTACGGTATGTGTGTGTAACATATATTTCGTGATAGAACTATTCAACTTTCCAATAGACATGACAAACCAATATCGAAAATATGTATAGACACAATCTGTCGTCTGTTGAAATAATTTTAATCATAACAGTTTTATTTAATTCATTGCACAATTGAAGAGAGCGATAAGATGTCTGCCTCTCATTCAAGGGATAATGGGTTTGAGATCTTACTACGGCCATAATAATGTTTTGTCATGATTTAACTACTGGTCATTCAAGAAACGGTCTCGAGTCAAACTAATACATGCTTAAAAGATAAAATAAATACAATCAAACTAAACTAAAAGGGTATACCGCTGATAAAACTTAGAGAAAATTATTGTGCCAATATACATGTACAGATACAGTAATTAAAGCAATGATATTCTATTACATGTCTAGTATACTATTTTCAGATTGTGATTCTGTAAACTGCAAAAAGTCGTCGTCTGCTGATTCGTCAAAGTTATCATTGATCAGGAACGTCTGGTGGTTCCTAGTAGTTTTGATCCCAATGGTTCCATTTATCTGGAGTATCTAACGATAGTGCTTGTAAAAGTGTGACGAAACTGTATTACAGACGTTTCTAGAATAGTTATCTTTTTTATTCGTCTATATCAAACGATTTATAATAAATAGAGGATATTCAAGTTTTTTCTCTTAATACAGGATTAACTTTCATCGAGTGGTATGAAAAGAAATAGATCATGAATGGCGGTAGCCACGAGTAAAATATGATAATTTTCATACCACAAGATGAAATATATCCTGTAAATATAGAAAAAAAACTTTTTATTTTGAAAGTACGATTTGAAAGAATTTCTGTTAAATTTTGTGTACTGGCAGAATTTGGAAAAAGAAGTTCGGCTAAGCACAATGGAAAATACGGAAAATATGTTTCACTGCAGTGAAAAATAAATGTTTACAGTGAAAATTCGGAAAATGAAAATACGCATTTTATTTCATCAATATTTCATTTAATAGTATATAATTAATATTATATCTGATGTAAGTATAGCAAATTGTTTCCAATATTTGAAATATTGTATTTTACCATGCTTGAATGTAAATAGTATATATTAGAAATAAAGATTTTATATATCGGATCAAAATGTGAAAATTATTCAAAGCGCCGTTCTACAAATTGTGGCAAATTATAAGTCGTTCTTATATTTCAAGCAATTTCAGAAAGGTTAAATCTTCAAAGGTGAAGTTGATAACGATTTGTTTTCGGATTATCATTGATATCAGCGATATGTATTTATATGTTTAATAATTTTACAGCCTCTGTCCTTGTTTCTTGTTTACTAGAATATCGTCTTAAACATATCTGAATTCAATTCTTTATTCATTATACACTTTTTTTTTATATTTTACATTGTATAAAAGTTACTGTTGCTTCTCGCGTTGACGTCGTTTTTTAATGAGTGACGCCAACGTTATTGACATAACAAATAGTTGACGTCACAGACATGTACTCAAACCGATTCGTTCTCTCACATCTAATTTCGTATTATGACTCCAACTTTAAATTCTTATATCTTTACACCATTTTATTATTGATAGAATAAGCCTAAACTTAAGAAATGACTTAGGTAATGCCTGTTTAAATTACTGGAGGTCCTTATTGGTGTCTGAACAAGCGAATGGGTTTAAATAACTCTTGAACAAACTTACAGATGAATGAAGTAAACTCATTTAAATACAACTCTTTAATGGAACAGACCTTCAAAAAAATTAAATATTTGTCAATCTAAGACACAAATATTATTGGCTATAACAATCACACAAACTATTTAAAGTTCGTCAAATAAATTATTAAAGTCTAATAAGATGACGATGAATTTTTCTGAGCTAATCTTGCAGTTACAAGTATTTGGTCACCATTTAAAAACTCGTGATTCAAGAGATCACGTGCCGTTCCTCTGTGGCTTGCGTCAACTACGAGACACGTGTCTATAAAAGATTTTAGTCCATCCGATAATTGGTCATACTTATTTATACTGGGTCTACCATTTCTTTTTATAAGTTTCATAGCACGTGCTCCTTCCTCATGTATATATGGTGGTTCTCCGTCAATTATTTCTATCAGTGTTATACCATAGCTCCAAATATCTATCTTATAATCATAAGGTCTCCTGAAATAAATAAGAGCGGTTACACAGTTAGAAATATAGATAATATAATGTTTGGCAATAGTTTTCGCTCCCCTATAAAATTAAACACGAAAGTAACATTTCAGCTTCCCCACTCTATAAGAAAGACTTATTGAAGTCACCCGAGGTGTTCCGAGTGAACTAAATGTTTAAGTTAAGAGAATATCTTTTTTTCTGCAATACGTCTGCATGCTCCTATTAAAACATTACTTAAGAACGCTTGGTGGTTAATACAAATTCTAAAAAAACGTTTTCATTCGATACTATTTTCTCTTTTTTGTTTGTATGTTGCTTTATTTTCTTTTGTTTATATTTTTTTATATCATTTTGTTTATCATAATTCAATATTCAAATTTATATTAATTGAAACACAAATTTTAAAAGGCATGGAAACAAGATATTTACCATAAATTATGATTGAACAATTGTTAAAATGTTTTGTAAATACATGTCTATCCAGATTGTAGTGAAATGAGACAGGAAAAGCCTATCTATATATAACGAAAATGTCTGCAATATATTTACTTACCTAGCTACAACTTCCGGTGCCATATAGCACGGTGAGACAACTAGGTCGTTCTTCTTGGCATTTTCATCATATATGTAGCTGGTACCAAAATCTGTTATCTTTACTCTCCCATGTACATCCACCAACACATTGTTGCTTTTGATATCTCTATGAACTATGTTTTCTTTATGGAGATAGTCCAAACCTTTCACACATTGACTAGATATAAAACATATATGTCCTTCTTCTAACGATACATTTCTTACAATCTTCCTCAGTGAACACCCATTCACGTACTCCATGACAAGCCAGAATTTCTTTACAGCTTCCACATAAATCGCATCTAGAGCAATGACAACATTTTCATGGTAAATTTTCTTCATTATGTTGACCTCGTTAGCCAACACTGTGAATGGCTGTTTTTTAACCTCCATTATCTTTATGGCAACCATACACCCGTTTAGCTTCGCCTTGGCTAAGACCACGTGACCGAAAGCTCTGTAAATATAGCAAAAGTGAAAAAGTTTACTAGAAATACATTTGGTGCATGTTTAATATAAATGAATTTACAAAATAGCAAAGTGCAAAATATGAGCGTAAGTAAATCGTGAGAGTAACATCTTATGAAAAATATGTGATCAAATTCTCTATGAACTACTCTTGATGTATAAGTCTCACTTCAGACAAATTTTGTACATCCTCTTGACATTAAACATTATACCATCAGACAAACAATATGTCCTCGACATTGATACATCACCCAACAGGCGAATTATATGTCTTTGACATTGTTATATTAACGAAAAAACGAACAATATATCCTTGACATTTATAAATCAGCACAACAAACTAACAATATGTCCCTGACATCGATATATCACCCAACAGACGAACTATATGTCCTTGGAATTGACACATCTTCACAGAACAATTACTGTATGTCATATTGACATGTATCAACCGACATTCCTTGACATTAATAATGTATCACCCAACAGACGAACAATACGCCCCTGACATTTACACATCACCACAACAAACAAACTATACTAGTATGTCCTTGACTTTGATATTTCACCCAAAGATGAACTATACCTCTTTGTCATTTATACATCACACTCTTATATAGCAGAAACTGAGAGAAAAAAGTCGTGTCAGGCATACATGTTATAATAAAAATACTTAAATACTAACCCGGAGTCAATAAGCTTTATTGGAGAATATCTTTGTTTGGGGTCATCACCATTTGACAAATTTCCTAACAAGAAAAAATAATAAATCATATAACAAAAATATGAGTAAACAAAGAAAATATTTATTTAAGCTACACCAAAATATCATTTATTGTAATCACGGATTTTGTTTGCTCCGTAAGTAAAAACATATCGCGTTTAAATGATTCAAAATGATTTATTTCAGACACGGAATGAACAATTCGAGGGAAAATAAAAAATAAAAAATAATGACACAACTGAAAAAATTTTATATTATTAACCTTTTCCTATTTATTGTTTTATTACTTAAATTTTTGATATAACATGTCGAAGCTTTGGCTGTCACGTCTTTTTAAATTTTATTTTAAAACGATAGGTGAAGTTATACTTTTTAAAACAATATTGAATAATATGTTTCTTAAATATTTACTTAAAACTATATATATAAATGTAGACATATGCAAAACATTCACCATAAAATGTATTCAAATATGGATAATTCATTATAAGGGCCTGTCAAGAGTGTTTATAAAAATGACTTGGATTACTTCGATACCTTATTAAGTTAATGATTCATTTTAATTAGAAATGAATTGAATTGCATAGCAATCAATAGACAACAAAATTTATAAATATACTGTTATTGCGCAAAAGTCTTGCTAATTAAGAAAGTAAATGGACCAATAAATTTAAAATATTATTTTTAACTAAATAAAAAAATATTTTATTGTTTATAATCTACTCTTGTATATGGTGGCATATTTCTGCCACCAGATAACCATAAAACTTACTACGAGTAGTTAATTAAGAGGTTAACTAGTTACGTTAACCCCTTTATTTAACTAGTTAGTTATGTGGTTAACATAACATGTTTAGGAATACATGTATATATACATTCACATGTATACATTTATATACATGTATAACTAACAGTGTATAATTTTAACAACAAGAGTTTCTATTGAGTCTTCAAAAACAATAGACAAGATTTTTATTATATGATCTAAAAATAGCTGCAATCTCATTGGTCCAAACAGTAGTCAACAGAACTTTTTATAAAATCATATTCACTGGGTGTAGTATCATATTCACTGGCTGAAATGGATTTTCCCAGTCTAAAAATAGATTGAGACTCATATTCAATGACCATACACCGTAGACTGTAAATAACGCGTGTTAATTAAAAAATAAGTGTTGCGTTTTGTTCTTCATGGCATATTTCTCGATTAAAATATCATCACTTTACTATTTCATTTAAAGGCTACATCGCAATGATGAGTATAGACTTGAATTACTTTTGTATGCGCAGCGTTCGAGAAGTCGCTGCACGCCTAACACGTGAGTCTTTTTTCCCGCACTTCAACAAGGCAAAATTTGTACATGTATATAAGGTTGTACTTTTTGTGGTTTTTTTTTCAATTCTTAAGGCAGCACACCACACTAAATGAAGCCACTGCTTCGAATGGCCAGGGAGGATTTCATGGATATAGTGACTATTGTGGATTTAAATGACTGGTTGTCTTTAAAATGCATTTTCAGCATGAAATTTGTTTTTGTGACATGTAATATGATCATTGGCAAATTCGAAAACATGGTTAGAAATCACATGCTGATAATTATAGATGTCAAGGCCGCCATTGTTTGTAAACATTGCTTTTAAACAGCATGCTCGGTGAAAACAAGTAATTTTACAGGGGGGTACAAACTTTCAGCAATAGCAAAAAATCTACAAGGTCAAGCACCTATTTCTTTGTGAGATTTTGCATGTATAGGGAGTTGCTAAAGCAGTGACAGAGTTTCTGTAGCCCGTATATTTGCAGGTGTTTTTTGACAGAGGGACGAAAAATGTTGTTTTGGGTCTCGGACCACTATAGATTTTTGGCTTTTACGAAATGAATTTGAATTATTTTTTAATGCCTGACTGTTGCACATGGGATGATTTTATCAAAGATTTGCAATGTTATGACATATATGTTCTTAACAAAATGTGTTTTCTTTTTCCAGGTTGTGTAGTTTGGGATCAGATTTATCAGACATATTGCTTGTAGGACATTGACGGCAGAAACTTGAAATTTAGTGTGGCGTGCTACCTTAGCATTTTCATATAATTAAACAATTATTGACAAGTGAGCCATTGTATATGAAGTGATATCGCCTCGGTCAATATGTCATCTGCCGGTGAATATCACATCATATTCAATGGCTAACTAGTCAATAATTATTGTATAATATCACACACTTGCTTGGTGAGAGGTTAAAGGTACATACCTTTGCTTGTATTTGAGAAGATTTCTCCTTTAAAACTGTCTTGTTATCTAACTCTGTCACATGGCTGAAATATAAAACGTTATAACTGTTTGACACATTACAGATTACACATGTATTTTCTTTAAATTTAAATAAAAATGATTTACTTATACAAGCTTTCAAGATTCGTGCAGTACTTAAATGCCTATTAAGCCCCCAAAATGCCTCATAATCGTTTCTTTATTATTTTCTTTATTAATATGATTTTAATCCATTATTAAAATGTTACTAAACACATGTGTACACATGTTTAAAGAAGAAATAATTATTTCTGGGACATAATGTGCCTTTGAAGATTGTATTAAAAGTCATGACTCATTTAGGCCTATGACAGGTAAAACAAACGAACATATAGAAAGAAACAGTCAACACGAAGTTTTGTCTATATAAACAATATATAATTCACAAACAAAAAGTCTGTATAATACAGAATTATATAAAAATGCATTGAATGCATAGAGTTTTTCTCATTACCTTGTATGTAAAGTTGATCGACGGTAAACACTGAGAATTCCGAACATCGAATCATCGTCATCATTGGCGTACAAGGCCGGTAATTCTGAAAGTAATAACAAAAGGTTTTTAAACAAAATGTGCGGCTTTTTTTTCCCTTGAAATTATAATTTGACGACCCAGTGTTTGCAAAAGAATCAAACTTAGTTAAAGTATTAAAAATTTTTGAAGCCCGTGTCACGACAAAACAACATAGTGGGGTTTTTGCGACCAGATGGATTAAGACCAGCCTGCCGCAATCTGCGCAGTTGATTCAGGAATCCATGCTGTTTCGCTAGCAGTTTCTTTTACTTGTTATAGGGTCTGTAGGCGAACATCATGAATCCTGATCAGACTGCGCGGAAGCGCAGGCTGGTCTGCATACATGCTGGTCGCAAACCCATTATGTTGGTTTTGTCATGACACGGCTCATTAATATGTTAATTTCATGCAGGGCTCTCGTTAGCATTTTAAGACAGGGACCAGGGTCCATGCATTTGGGGTGCCTATTTTGCGTGATTTTCAGATATTTTTCATTCAAGGGGAAATATGCTGTTGTCATGAAATATTTTGGTTTTTTCCATTGAAAAGATTTAACTTAAAAACGCGATGCCTGATCTATGGCCATTAAATATTATTTTAAATGGGGCAATTTTTTTCAGTTTTAGGGGGAAACACACTATTTAAATGGGGGAATTGGACCCATATTCGGGCCCCAAATTTTATCAAACGAGAGCCCTGTCATGTACGTAATAAATCCAAGTTAGTCGCTTTAAGTTAAGAAATATAGCACTTATGCAGTGGATCCGTGAACTTGTTTGTTTTACCCGCCGAAACCTGCATCTGTAACAAAGTCATTTTTCATTTTAATTTAACTGATTGTCAGCAGTTTAACCCGTATTATTTATAAAAAAAAACATGTTTGCCATAAAAAAGCAACTAAAATAGGCATTTTATGTTTACTGTATGTATCACGCAAATAACATACTCTTTTCTTAATAAAAAGTACACAGTATTGTAAGCTTTGTGATACAAATATATATTGATGATCATATATATCACACGCTCAGTTCTATACATTGAAAAGCAAAGTTTCGCGTATCTTGAAATATTTAATTTTTCACACAAATATGTTGGTGAAATATATTTCATATAAAATCAAACATTAACAAATATTCTCTGTTAATTTACCTATTTTACCGCCTCTGTCCATGTTCCTAGATTACAAGAATGTCGCGTTTTAACATCTCTAAATTTAATTCTTCATCCATTAAACAGTTTTTATGATTTTTAATGTGACTTAAAAGATACTGCTGCCTTGAGCATAAACGTCGTTTCTAATGAATGGTGCTAACGTCACTGACATCATATATATCTGACGTCATAAGAACGTTCCCCAAATTTGAATTTCGTACTCAAAACCGTAAACCGTTCTAACTATACCTAGTTGTCTAATTTATTCACTGGTATTTTAAAACACAGGACAAATGCCCCTTTTGATCAAAAATCTGTTTCAAATGAAGGATGATAATCGATTTTTTAAAAATGATAGACCCATTTTAACTGATAATTTATATATCCCCTTTTTTTTTTTTTAATTTGCCCCCTCCTTCTTTTTTTCGCCTTATAATACTAATAATACTATCATAAGAAAGAAGATATAAACAGAGGCAAACATTCAAAATACTTATGGGTTTTATTATACAATTATTGACTAGTGAGCCATTTAATATGAAGTGATATTCACCGGCAGATGACATATTGACCGAGGCTAAGAAATAAAAAAATCACAAATAGTACAATCTTATATACATGTACAAATTTTGCCTCGTTGAAGCGCGGGAAAAAAGACGCACGTGTTAGGCGTGCAACAACTTCGCGAACGCTGCGCATAAAAAGTAATTCAAGTTTATACTCATCATTGCCGTGTAGCCTTTAAGTAAAATAGTAAAGTAATGATATTTTAATAGAGAAATATGCCATAAAGAACAAAAAGCAACAATTATTTTTTAAGTAACACGCGTATTTAACAGTCTACGGTGTATGATCATTGAATATGAGTCTCAATCTATTTTTAGACTGGGAAAATCCAATTCAGCCAGTGAATATGATACTACACCCAGTAAATATGATTTTATAAAAAGTTCTGTTGACTACTGTTTGAACCAATGAGATTGCAGCTATATTTAGATCATATAATAATGTGTTTTAAAAGGCTGTCTGAATGTGTTTTTACAATAATAAT